CTGCTGTTTTCTAACCCTTGAGCACAAAGACTACTGTTAATTAGCAACAGTGGACTTCAGATGGCCAGGAGTGCTCCTCTGGTAAAATCATGAGGAATGTTACAAGGCCAAGATTTAAGAGGTTGTTCAATCTTCAAGATTTCATGAAGGCTAGACGGATGGGTCAGTGGTCAAGAGTGTGTACTGCTCTTACAGAAAACCAAATTTGGTCCCCAGCACCCAATCAGGTGGTCTACAACCACCTCTCTAACCCCAGCTCCTGGGATCCAACACCTTCTGGCGTGTGTGTGTGTGTGTGTGTGTGTGTGTGTGTGTGTGTGTGTGTGTGTGTGTGTGTGTGTACGTGTACGTACATGCACACAGAGAATAAATTTTAAAAAAGACTTCTTCCAAGTGGAGGCATCGAGTGTCAGTTTTGCTCTCTAGGTTGCCATACACTACACCATGAACATGTTGGTTTTTAGCTTCTGTTTTGTTTTGCTTCTACCTTTCCTCTTATGTTTTTGTTGGGCCTAAAAACTAGGAGATGTTTAGTATGTTGCTCTGTTTCCAAACATTGGGAATCCCACTTTGACTTCTGTCCTACACCAGCAAACAATTTTTGAAAATACAGAAATAATTTTGAGTGAAAATGATGTGGTCTCTGAAGTACCTGCTGCTTACAGATACTTAGATAGCTACTAAAGTGTGTACATGGTGTTGAAATTCATCTTCCAGCAAGAATAGGTCCTTCATTTGCCTGATTCCTATAATGTTTCCTAGAGAAGATAAAAAAGTATCTGGTGTATTAGCCAGCAAGCAGGATCATTGTTTCTTTTCTCTTTCTCTTTTTTTTTCCCCAGACACAGTTTCTCTGTGTATCTCTAGCTGTTCTGGAACTCACTCTGTGGACCAGGCTGGCCTGAACTTAGAGGTCCACCTACCTCTGCCTCCCAAGTGCTGGGATTAAAGGCTTGTGCCACCATCACCCGACACACCATTGTAGGTTTCTTAATTTTTTTTTTAAAGACAGGGTTTCTCTTTGTAGCCCTGGCTGTCCTGGAACTCGCTCTGTAGACCAGACTGGCCTCGAACTCAGAAATCCACTGCCTCCTGTGTGCTGGGATAAAAGGTGTGCACCACCATTGCCTGGCTAAACCATTGTTTTTTTAACCTAGGAACATTCCAGGATATTCTAACAAATGACTAAAACTTCATTAGCAAGGATATTCAGGGAATGGACTATTTTTTTTTTTTGAGACAAGGTCTTTCTACGTAGCCCAAGCTGGCCTTGAACTCTCAGTCCTCTTTGGATTACATGCACCACTAAGCTTAGCAGATAGGGTCTTAGTTAAAGATGTATCTAAAATTACCCTAATATTAGTAATGGTAAAAGATAACCTTCAAGCCTGCCGGTGGTGGCACATTCCTTTAATCCTAGCACTTGGGAGGCAGAGGCGGGTGAGTTCGAGACCAGCCTGGTCTACAGAGCAAGTTCTAGGACAGCTAAGACTGTGGAGAAAACCTGTCCCGAGCTCCCCCACCCAAAAGATAATCTTCAGAGAAAAGGAAAGCATTATGACTCTCTCAACAGATTGAAAAATGAACACATAGTAAGGATTTTTTCTTTTTAATTAATGAGAAAGCTAGACATGCTATAGCCAGTGTAAAGAAAAGGTCAAAAATCACAAATTCATGTGGAGTAAAGGAATGGGATTGCAAATGGAGGTAAAACTGGTTTTTCCACAGTGGTGGGGGGGGCAGGAGGTCAATCCCAACTTTATGGGACCATGACAGAGTTTATATACCCCTGAGCTACTTGGCATGTAGAGGTACAAAACAGGACATACATAGTGAACAGAGGCAGAATCAGGCAGCCTTGAAAGGTGTACTATAGATAATGTATGGATTTTTTTTTTTGTAGTAAGCCAGCATGGTAGCCACTTTTTCATTTTGGTTTATTTTGCTTCTTGTGATTTCTCAGAGTCATTCCCTCAGGTCTAATCTAGAATTCAGTCCCATATAACATGCATTTACCGAGTCCTTACAATGTGTAAAGTACTACAGAGAAACTAAAGACAAAAACCGCTGTTATTCCTTAACTCTAGTAACTGATCCTGTGGTGGAGAGACAGACATGCCATGTCCCCAGCAGAGGAGGACATGTGGTAGGACCGAGGAAAGAAGGAAATGTTTGAGGAGAACCAGAAAGGGAGGGGTTAACCGTTCTTGTGCTGAGGCTAGGGGGATGACACAATGACATTTAAGCTAGGCATTGAGGGATGATAGTGAGGGGAAGAAGGGGTACGGGGGAGGCCGTTTCAGAGTGCAGAAGCAGCAGAGTCCTGAAACTGGATGGGCAGGAGCTGGGGGTGGCAAGGATTGCAGGCAAAGGGCAGAGGAGCTTGCAGAGGAGTTTGGAGGCCAGGTCCTGAGGGCCCTGAAGGCTGTCCTAAGAATTCTGCCTTGAGAGCTAGCTTGATTCTGATGGCTTTTGACGAGAGTAGGGAGGTCTGATCGAAGCAGCATTTCAGAAGATGAATTGATTGTGGAATCAAGCGATGGGAGGCTGAGAGAGCAGTTAAGAGGCCAGTGTAATATTCCTGGGGTGAGATGATGAAGGACTACCAGGGCAGTGGCAAGAGGGGTAGAAAGAGGAAGGGAGATGACTTTATCAAGACTTGACACCTCATTTCATTGGGGTGATGGGGAGATGAGTTGAAGAGATTCAAGTGTGAGGACAGTAGTGCTAGTGACTAAGGAAGCATGCTGTGACGGCCTGGCGAATGGAGTGAGGAGTCATTTATGGGGACAGATAATGAGTCTGGTTTGAGATATGTTGGATTGAGAGGCTTAGTGGACATCCAGTTAACAGCAAGTTGCTGGCATCTGGAATTCTGCTGTAGGCCTGTGGGGAGAGGTCAGGATTAGAGCAAGAGATGTAGGAGTCACCGGTGATTCCAGGGCTGAATTGACATTGTGACTGCTGAGAGAAATAGAGGGCAAGACTGGCGTGCACAGCAAGGAGAGACCCAGAAAGAGACCCAGAATGAAGAAGGGGAGCTAGGCAGAAAGATGAGAGGGAGACAAGCAGAGGCTTGGTGGAGAAGTGGGGTGGGAAAGGATGGAAGGGGGAGCAAGGGAGGGAAGAAGGGAAGGAGCATCAGAGTGAAGAGGAAACAGGGAGATGCTGAGGATGAGATAAAGTAAGGGAGAATCTGAGAAGGCAGGCAGGAAGGGAAATGGAAGAGGCTGTGCTCCGAGAGTTGGCAGGGCAGAGGAGGGGCCACAAGACATCTGAGAAGATAGGAAGGAAAAATGAGAGTGAGGAGAGAGCGGGAAGGAGAAGAAAGAAAGGAGGAAGAGAGTGTAAGAGAAGGAAGGAGTCATGTGAAGGCTCATCTTCACTGAACAGCCAGGTTTCTGGGGTGGAGAACAGAAGGACCACACACAGAGAAACCAGCTAGCACTGAGCCAGGAAAGGATGGGAGGGGGTATAAAGAAAAGGGGGGAGGACACCAGCACCCCTTGGCTTGCACAGAGATGGGATAAGATGAAGTCAAAGAGAACAATGGGTACATACATCTCTACTGTTCTTTCCTTACCACCTTCCTTGAATCCAGCCATCATGATGATCTGGCTCTTGGTTGCTCTGAGCAGGCAGCCTCCTCTTGCTTTGAGAACTTTGCTTTCCTCTATCTGGAATGTTATTCCCTCTAGGTATCTACATTGCTCACTCCTTTATACCCTTTAGGTTGTTGAAATGTTTTCCTCTTGGTTAAGCCTATGTTGATCATCCTACTGTGAATCACAGCCCCTCCACTTATTCCCTCTGACATTATACCCATGCTCCTTAGTCTGTGTTGTGTAGCTTGGGATGTACTATGACAGAACAATTTAATAAGCTTATCATCTTTCTGGTTACCACCCTTGTAGAATGTAAGCACTCTACAGGTATGAGTTTTGTCAGGTTTGTGAGTTGTTGAATCTCTAGTACCTAGGACAAATGTTTGTTGAGTGAGTAAGTTAATTATGTTGAATACAAACAGTTTGTGAAAATTGAAGAGGATAAGTGGAGCAAATCTGTGATGTGACTGTACATTGCTATGACTTCTTTGGAACACAGACAACAGCAGAAAATGCTGATCACCATAGGGCTCTGTTCAGTTGAACTTTGGTGAATGATGATTTTAGCTCATAGGTTAACAAAACAGGCTCACTGGATAAGGCTATTTTCCTTGATACCCCTTTTTCTGTCAAAGAGGAAAGGACTATGCAGTGGTTGTCAATAGAAAGAAGTAGCCATTGGCTCGTGAAAGGGTTAGTAAGCCACGGCAGGGCAGACAGACTAATAGGAAAGGACAAGGACAGAAGTGCGTAGTTCTTGATGGAGGCTTGTTTTTGTTCATTTGATTGTGGCCAGAGTACAAGGAGTATTGCACCTAATTTGGAGGGAGCTTTCTACACCTTACACAGATGCATTGTGACCAACTTGGAAGCAAAGCAGAGTACTTTTGAAAGGCTTATAAAGAAAGTGTATGCTTCCTCTGGAGAGCTTAAATTGGCTGTGTCACTCAGATCCTTCCCTATCCATGGATTAGAGAGCAGCTGTGAAAAAGACCCCCAGTCTTTCACTGCACTTGCTGCTCAGGTATGGATGCAGCACTCTGACTGGGGTTGCTTAGGCTAAATGTATGTCGAAAATATATTGTCCCTCAACTGTATGCAGTAGATTGAATTTCCTCAAACATTCAAGCATATGTGTCTTTGAAGATAATTTAAAAATCACTCAGGGTGATTGACAGTGTCCTCATCTGCATCCTGAAATGTGGATTACTGGAAAGCTGGTGTGATCTTTTCCTTATTTGGACCTTCATTTTCTTTAGCAGGCTGCCTTGTGACAGTGATCACTTTAGCATTTTGATGCTATGATTACCTTGATTTCAGTGTTTCAGTGTAAAAGGTGGTTAAAGTAGCTGTGCTTGTTCTCACTTGTAATTTTTCGGTATTCTTTTTCCCCAGGGGGAGTGGCCACAACAGATCCTATCTGGCAGTGAGTGGCTGTCATGATCTCTACAGCACCGCTCTACAGCGGCGTGCACAACTGGACCAGTTCTGACCGGATTCGCATGTGTGGCATCAACGAGGAGAGGTAAGTTTTCAAAGGTGGCATCCAGTAAGCTGTACCTAGTCCCAGGTTGGGGGTAGGACCTGGGGACAAAATTCTTGTTTGTTTCTAATTTTCCTCAATCATGGGGGTCACCTGCTCTGCCATACTGTCCCTGTACCAGTAAAAATGAGGGAGCCATCAGATGACCTTTGCCACCTAGTATTATCTGTCTAGTGATTAAGAACTGCCAGATTGTGGAGTAAAGCAAAGCTCAGGTGCTTGCCATTTCTATGTCTTATATCAAAGTTGGGTGCTCAAAACTCCATGTAAGATACTTTCATCTCTTGTCTAGGGCTTGGAAGAAAGTTGGTTTGATCGTGTGTGTGTGTGTGTGTGTGTGTGTGTGTGTGTGTGTGTGTATAAAATTTATTTATTTTATTTCATGTACAGTTGTGTTTTGCCTGCGTGTATTCTATGTGAAGATGTCAGATTTCCTAAAACTGGAGTTACAGGCAGTTATGCGCTACCATGTGGGTGCTGAGAATTGAACCCAGGTCCTCTGGAGGAAAAGCCAGTGCTCTTAACTGCTGAGCCATCTCTCCAGCCCCTCATCATGTAGCTTTAAGGTGGGAACTGGTTGTCAGAATTTGGGGGGCCAGTATTTCCTACCTCAAAAAGCTAGCAAAACATTTGTCAGGAAGACCTTATGAAGAAGTATCAAAGGAAATTGAGGTTGCTGATCATAGTTTTAATATAAAATCCAGAGTTTGTGAGGCCTGCCTGGTTTCTGTGTCTACTTTCAGTTTTCAGATATTTGGTTGACCAAGACAGGCCTTCTTAAAATTATACATCATATCAAGGGTACCCAATTGTCCCTCAGAGTTTATATTTTCCTTTTATAACCCCTGGTCAAGTTGCTCTGTATGGTGGTTATGGGACCTCTTCCAACTTCAAGACATTGTCCGGCCATGTTTGCTGGTGTTTTAATCTATGACTATTTAAATTCACATATGCCAGAGGAATTACAATAGGACTTTCCCTCCCATTTAAGATCTGGGGTCTTCAAAAAGAAAAAAAATATATAAAGAGCCTGGTTTAGGTCTGTTGAGGTGGTTCACTGAGCAAAGATGCTCGTGGCCAAGCCTGATAAACTGAGTTTGATTCCCAGAACCCATTAGATGTAAGGAGAAAATGAGTCTCACAAGTTGTTCTCTGATCTCCACATGTACACACCAGTGCTACATTACACCCAAAATATATAAATGAATGTAAAAAAATAGATCTGTAGTTCCCCAGGTAAATCTAAAAAGCATTCATGTGTTGGGAGAGGTAATGTTGATAAGGGAAAAAGAATGATTATCTTTGCTTTTATATACTATGTTTTTGTGGCTCTAGGGATGGAACCCTGGGACTCATGAATGATAAGCATGTTTCTACCACTGAGCTACTCCCTCAACTTCATGTTTGGTTTGTGGGGTTTTTTTTCATGACAGGGTTTCTCTGTATAGCTCTGGCTGTCCTGGAACTCGCTCTGTAGACCAGGCTGGCCTCAAACTCAGAGATCCACCTGCCTCTGCCTCTTGAGTGCTGGGATTAAAGGCATGCTTTGTTTTTAATGATTTTTTTCTTTATTTCCTAGCTAGAGAATTGTGTACTTGTCTGAGACTAAGGTTAGGAGAATAGATCTTTTTATTTTCTTAATCCATTGGCACCTGATAGTTTAATGGTCCCTGTGCTGAGGAATGTGTTAGAGATGGACTTTAAAAAAGAATTTAATTTTAGAATACAAAAATCAAAACCAATGAAAATAAGACGAAATTCTTCTGGGAGACAGGAGAAGGAAAAAGGTTTTCCCTTTATGGATGAGGTCTGTTCTCAGATGATTCTAAGAGATGATCTTTGGCAAGGCAAGGTTGTGGTCATGATTTGTGAGTATGCATTGGTAGACCGTGTTGTTCTAGTTATAAGTAGTTGAGGCTGGTTTAGAGCTGTGGGCCTGAGCCTTCAAGAAGCTAGTGGGCAAGCTAGGTGTGGTTACTCACATCTATAATCCCAGTACTCAGGAGACCAAGGCAGGAGGACTGGGGATTTGAGACCAGCCTAGACTACTATTAAGTATTAGGCTAGCCTTGGCTATATAAGTGAGACTGTTTAAGACAGGGCATTTTGTATACTAACCTGAGAAATTAAAAAACAGTGGACAAATTACCTTGGTTCACTGTCTATGCTATATTCCTTCCAAGAAAGGAGCCAGAAGTAGATGTGAAATATGATTTTCTCTTTTTCCAGACCTTTCTTGGGATGCTAAATTAGCAAATATGTCCAGGATCCACCCTTTGTCACCTTCTTACCACAGTCTAGGCTATGTTACAGCTGATTTCTAAAATGTAATCTCACCCTGTGTGCTTGCTTTTTTTTTTTTTTTTTTGAAACAGTGTCTCTTTCTCTCTGTTGCCTAGGCTGACCTGGAGCTTACTATTATAGCCTAGGTAGACCTCTAACTTGTAGTAGCCCTACTGCTTCAGCCCAACTGCTAGGATGTCATGTGTGAGTTACCATGCTTGGTAAAATATATAACATATATAATGTGGTATATATATATATTTTCCTTCTCCTGTCTCCCAGAAGAATTTTGTCTTATTTTCATTGGTTTTGATTTTTGTATTCTAAAATTAAATTCTTTTTTAAAGTCCATCTATAACACATTCCTCAGCACAGGGACCATTAAACTATCAGGTGCCAATGAATTAAGAATATATATATATATATATATATATATATATATATATATATATATTCTATGTGTATGGGTGTTTTGCCTGCATGTATGTCTGTGCACCATGTGTATGCCTGGTACCCATAGAGATCAAAAGAGGGCATCAGATCCCCTGGAAATGGATTTGCAAATGGTGGTGAGCTGCCATGTGAGTGTTGGGAATCCAACCCAGGTCCTTTGAAGAGTAGCAAGTTCTCCTAACTGCTGAGCCATCTCTCCAACCCCCACCCCCTCCCCCTTTTTGGAAACAGGGTCTTGCTGTGTAGCACAGGACGAAAGTCTCTGTCTTGGCCTCTCAAAGTACTGTGATTACAAGCATGTGCCGCCAAGCCCAGCTTTACTCTATATAAAAAACCACCTTTCCCCATCCTTTCCAACTTGTAGACCTTACAAATTTGAGGTATAAAGCTGTATTTGGGGATCAACTTAAAATCACATTGTAGAAGTCTGCTCAGCTTCATCAAATATGGTTGAGGAACAGAAGGTGTTGCCTTTTTGACTGTTCCAGGTGGTTGGTCAGCTTTAGTCAAACCTCCAGCTAAATCAGCTTGCTTGCTTCTAGCATTTAATTATTTATTCAATACAAGAGCAAACTGGTAGTACAGCTTAGTACATTGCTGGTGAGTGCTATAGAGTGGTGTGAATAGGTCCTATGGAGTCTAGTTGCAAGAATGATGCATTTTCATGGAAATCTCAGAGGACACTGCCATCTGAGCCCAGGCTGGAGAGATGATTAGGAATTTGGGGTGAAGGCCAGTGTCCATATTTCCTTGAGTGTTTGGGAAAGGCCTTAGCTGGAGTGAAGGGGGTCCTGAAGGAGCAGTGGGACTTCAAACAGGAAAAGTCTTGGGCTGCTAGGTAAGGGGCTGGCCTCATGCATTCTAGGTTGGATATTTCTCTTAGACATTGTCCCAGGCCCAACAGGAACTGAAAAGGTCCAGTGTGACAGGTCCAGGTGTTAGCCTTTAATAATTAGGAAAATAGCCTTGAGACATAGTGGCTCATTTTGGTTAAGTTCAGCAAATCCTTGAGCATACCAGCTGTCTTCTAGTGGGAAGAACTGATTTTCAGTCCTGATTAGAGTCTCTGTGTTTCCTCCTCACCTATATCCTCATAACCTTGCTCAGTTGACCCAGCCTCCTCTCCCCGCCCCCTGCCTTTTCGATTCCAGGCTCCTCTCTCAGTGGAGCGTTTTTTAAATATTTGCTCAGCTTTGCATCCCCCTCAGAGGATTTGAAACATCATCGCACACGTTTTCCCAGAGTTTGGAGGCTGGTGCTGAGGCTTAGGCATGGCTGGAGTAGCCAGAAGGGCTGCTTCTGCTGCTGCCACTACCAGTTTCTCTGCCTGGCTCTAGGCTTCCCTGGTAACTACTGGCTTGCAAGAACATAGCTTCTGCTTCAAAGCAGGATTTCTGCCCAAGGAGGAGCCCACCAACCGGGGAGGGAGCTTGGTCAGGAGGGGGAAGAATGTAAACAAATAGTGCCTTCCCATGTCGGGTTTTGGAGGGAGGGACTGCTGTTTCCCCTCACCACCACAGCCCTCCCCCTAAACCATCCCTGGTGATTCTAGTTGGAACACGCTTCTTCAGCCCAAGGCTGGGTACATAGAGGTCCTGCTTTTCTGGTCTCTCAGGAGTTGATGTGAAAAGTGTGTTTTCCTTTTCCTTGGGGCCCTCCCCTTCCTCAAGACCCCCAACTGCCTCCCAAGCCTTTGCCTCACAGTCATTCTGTTTGTACCAACAGTTGTTTCCAGCAGTGGAACCCTCCCACTTCTGCAACTCTAGCTGCTTTTTAAAGGGGACAAGCCTTTCCCCCTTGATTAGCCCCTTCTGGAGCACCGAAAAGATGGGGAGAGGCCTGCTTTCATCCCCATTGCCATTTTTGCTTCTCTTGCCCCAGGTACAATTTGGGAGTCCCTGTTTCAGTCAGAGGGAGGGAGTTATTTTCAGGGTATTCCTCCTTGCTGGAGTTGGCTACAGGCACCCCAAATACCCTTTAGCCTAGAGTGGTTGGTAAGGCAGGGGCTGACTTTTCTTCACGGGCTATATTGGATCTCTGGCAGGGCTCCAAAGATGGCAGGCAAACCCAAACAAAGAGCAGGCAGAGAGAGCAGTCCTGTGCTTTGCCCACCCAGAAAACTTGCTGCAGCTTTGTTCTTTGACCCCCCACCTCCTCTGCAGCCACTCCCACCCAGGCAGCTGCCCTATTGAAATGCTCCCTAGTACAGGGGCAGTGTGTTCCTGCTGCACTTAAAGCGCCAAACTTGGAGTGGGTGTTTGTCCTCCAACTTTAGCAGTCTGGTCCTTTTGTTTATTTGTTTGTTTTGTCAAATGTAACATGTTTGAAGATTCTTACCTGAATTTAGAGGAATTATTTTTGAGCAGGTCGGGGGATACATTTGGGTTTTTCTCCTTTGAGACCCAGTTTTCTGGCCTTAAGCCTTTACTTATGGCACATACCAATGTGAATGTGGAGTCTGTGGCTTTCAGAGGCTCCCTTTTGGGAAGGGAGAGAATGTGGTGGTACAGAGAGGCTGAAGGGAAGGTGCTCCCTGTGTATTCTGAAGAAGGGAGGGTGCTCCCTGTGTATTCTGAGAAGGGAAGGTGCTCCCTGTGTATTCTGAGAAGGGGAGGTGCTCCCTGTGTATTCTGTGAAGGGAAGGTGCTCCTTGAATATTCTGAGAAGGGAAGGTGCTCCCTGTGTATTCTGTGAAGGGAAGATGCTCCCTGTATATTCTGTGAAGGAAAGGTGCTCCCTGTGTATTCTGTGAAGGGAAGGTGCTCCCTGTGTATTCTGAAGAAGGGAAGGTGCTCCCTGTGTATTCTGTGAAGGGAAGGTGCTCCCTGTGTATTCTGAGAAGGGAAGGTGCTCCCTGTGTATTCTGAGAAGGGAAGGTGCTCCCTGTGTATTCTGTGAAGGGAAGGTGCTCCTTGAATATTCTGAGAAGGGAAGGTGCTCCCTGTGTATTCTGTGAAGGGAAGATGCTCCCTGTGTATTCTGTGAAGGGAAGGTGCTCCCTGTGTATTCTGTGAAGGGAAGGTGCTCCCTGTGTATTCTGAGAAGGGAAGGTGCTCCCTGTGTATTCTGAGAAGGGAAGGTGCTCCCTGTGTATTCTGTTAAGGGAAGATGCACCCTGTGTATTCTGAGAAGGGAAGGTGCTCCCTGTGTATTCTGTGAAGAGAAGATTCTGGCTGGAGCCAGGTAGCGTTCTAGAACTGTTCCTTTGGAGAGAAAGAAGTGTCTCTTTGTTGTTGTTGTTGTTGTATTGTTTTGTTTTGCCATTTTTTAATTAAGTCAGGGTCTTAGTATGTAGCTTTGCTGTCTTGTAATTCCTTTTGTAGACCAGAGTCTAGGCTGGCCTTGTACTCAAAGAGCTCTACCTGCCTCTACCTCCTGAGTGCCAGGATTTAAAAAGATGTGCATCATCACATCCACTCCATTTTTGTTGTTGTTGCTGTTGTTGTTTAAGACAGGGTCTCCTGTAGCCCAACTAGCTTTGAATTCCTTACTTTCCAGTCTCCACTTCCTAAGTATTCAAATTATAAACACATGACACATGCTTGGCTAATGTAGTATTTTTAAAGAGCCTCTTATTGTCAGTGACCAGATAGCCTCAAATCAGTGTTGTATGTGCTGGTAAAGGTGAATGTGTATGGGCTACAGGCATGCCCAGCCCATCGGATGAACAGGTGATTCAGATTTGGACTAGACTTAAACACAATGGGAATGATGGTTTGCTTTGGAAGAGATTTACCCTAACATGGCACTTTCCATATAGACTTGAAAGAAGATGGGATTTAAAATAAAATGAATTTGCATGCCTTTTGAGGCTTACAGGTCACATCTATCTGGGTTTGAGTGATGCCCTGTATATCCTAGATTGAATGGTCACCTTGGTGGGTAAGCTCCAGGGAAAAGAAGGCGCTAAGATAGGGTTCGTGCACACTTTTGTGAGAACACTAGAAAGCAGAATAAGTAGCCCCCAAATTCTGGTCAGACAAGGCTCCTATTCAAGAACTTGCAAAGCCACGTGCAGAGACTCTGCTTTGTTTCCTTGAGTCCCCTAGTACCCTGCTATCTATCCCCTGAAGCTACCATGGGAAGTGAGACAGGAGGGTTTGGTGGGAAGCCAGGTAGGCAGGACCTTCTGGAGAAAGTGTCAGTGGCCTAAGTCTGAGCCTTATGTCCCTTTTCTGGTTGTGTCCTTCCTTCCAGAAGAGCACCTCTTTCTGATGAGGAGTCCACGACAGGTGACTGCCAGCACTTTGGATCTCAGGAGTTTTGTGTCAGCAGCAGTTTTTCCAAGGTAAGGAGCTGTGTGTTGTCACATGCTGCCCATCAAAGGATGAGCTTTCTGGGGTTGTGTGGCTGGCTTGGCCCTTCTGAGAATGGGAGCAAGAAGACAAGCTGCTCTAGATGAGACAGAAATTGGTATGTATGTGCCCTGTCCTTTGCAGTTAGTTGAGTTGCAGAAAGGAGCAGCAGTTACTTCTCAGGGGCCGCAGGATACTTGGATCCACTGTGGGGAGCTTGCTAAGATGGGCATGCTGTTCTTTCATTGCAGGTGGAGCTCACAGCAGTTGGAAGTGGCAGCAATGCCCGGGGGGCAAACCCAGATGGCAGTACAACAGAAAAACTTGGGCACAGGTCAGAAGATCAGCCTGATGATCCCCAGCCAAAAATGGACTATGCTGGGAATGCAGGAGAGGCTGAGGGCCTCCTGGTGCCACTGAACAGCCCAGGAGACGGGCTTAAGCTGCCCACTCCTGATAGTACTGAGGCCAGCCATAGCAGGGCCAATTGCTCTTGGACTCCCCTAAGCACCCAAATGAGCAAACAGGTTGACTGCTCGCCAGCCGGGGTAAAGGCTTTGGACTCTCGGCACAGTGTTGGGGAGAAGAACACTTTCATTTTGGCAACTCTGGGAACTGGAGTCCCTGTGGAGGGAACCCTGCCTCTAGTTACCACTAACTTCAGTCAGCTGCCGGCACCTGTCTGCCCTCCTGCCCCTGGGTCGACCTCTGTGACCCCGTCGGTTCCCGATCCATTCCAGGTTCCCCTTTCTGTCCCGGCCCCAGTGCCCCACTCAGGACTAGTTCCAGTCCAAGTTGCCACATCAGCTTCAGCTCCTTCGCCTCCCCTAGCACCAGTGCCCGCTCTAGCTCCAGCACCGCCCTCGGTGCCTGCTCTCATCTCTGATTCCAACCCTCTCTCGGTGTCAGCCTCTGTCTTGGTGCCTGTACCAGCGTCTGCTCCCCACTCGGTCCCAGTGCCACTGTCGGCTCCTGCTCCTACTCCTCTCACAGTCTCTGTTTCTGCACCTCCCTTGGCCCTGATCCAGGCTCCTGTGCCTCCTTCAGCTCCCACTTTGGTCCTTGCTTCTGTCCCAACTCCGGTCCTAGCTCCCATGCCAGCGTCCACGCCTCCAGCAGCTCCTGCCCCTCCATCTGTGCCGATGCCCACTCCAACCCCATCCTCTGGCCCGCCGTCTACCCCCACCCTTATCCCTGCTTTTGCTCCTGCACCGGTGCCTGCACCCACCCCGGCCCCAATCTTTACTCCAGCCCCCACGCCCATGCCGGCTGCCACACCAGCTGCCATCCCCACCTCAGCACCCATTCCAGCCTCCTTCAGTTTGAGTCGAGTGTGCTTTCCTGCAGCTCAGGCACCAGCTATGCAAAAAGTCCCCCTGTCTTTTCAGCCAGGGACAGTGCTGACCCCTAACCAGCCGCTGGTATACATCCCACCTCCGAGTTGTGGGCAGCCACTCAGTGTGGCTACACTGCCAACCACTCTGGGAGTCTCTTCCACACTCACGCTCCCAGTCCTGCCATCTTACCTACAGGATAGGTGTCTCCCAGGTGTGTTGGCCTCCCCAGAGCTCCGCTCTTACCCATATGCATTTTCCGTGGCCCGGCCTTTGGCTTCAGATTCGAAGTTGGTCTCTTTAGAGGTGAACAGGCTCTCTTGTACTTCCCCATCCAGCAGCACTAACACCCAGCCTCCTCCTGATGGGATCCCTGGACCTTTGGCAGATACTTCCCTCACCACTGCTTCTGCCAAGGTGCTTCCAACTTCACAGCCTTTGCTGCCAGCCCCCAGTGGGAGCTCAGTCCCACCACACCCCTCCAAGATGCCAGGTAGCACCGAGCAGCAAACAGAAGGGACTTCCGTTACCTTCTCTCCTCTCAAGTCACCTCCCCAGCTCGAGAGAGAGATGGCCTCTCCACCCGAGTGCAGCGAGATGCCTCTTGACCTCTCTTCCAAGTCCAACCGCCAGAAGCTTCCATTGCCGAACCAGCGTAAAACACCTCCCATGCCTGTGTTGACCCCTGTGCACACGAGCAGCAAGGCCCTCCTGTCCACAGTCCTGTCTAGGTCTCAGCGCACAACTCAGGCTGCCGGCAGCAACGTCACTTCCTGCCTGGGCTCCACTTCTTCGCCTTTCGTTATCTTCCCTGAGATGGTGAGGAATGGAGACCCAAGCACCTGGGTAAAAAACTCCACCGCTCTGATCAGCACCATCCCTGGCACATATGTGGGAGTGGCCAACCCAGTGCCTGCATCCCTGCTGTTGAACAAGGACCCTAACCTGGGCCTTAACCGAGATCCTCGCCATCTCCCCAAGCAGGAGCCTATCTCCATCATTGATCAAGGAGAGCCTAAGAGCACTGGTGCCACTTGTGGCAAGAAAGGCAGCCAGGCTGGTGCCGAGGGACAGCAAAGCACAGTCAAATCCCGTTATACCCCAGCCCGCATTGCCCCTGGGCTGCCAGGGTGCCAAACCAAGGAACTGTCTTTATGGAAACCTACAGGGCTGACAAATATGTACCCACGGTGTTCCATCAATGGGAAAGCCACTAGCACCCAGGTCCTGCCTGTTGGCTGGTCACCATACCACCAAGCATCTCTGCTTTCTATTGGCATTTCCAGTGCCGGGCAACTAACCCCCAGTCAGGGGGTGCCTATCAGGCCCACCAGCATTGTTTCTGAGTTTTCTGGTGTGTCATCTCTTGGCTCCAATGAAGCTGTTCATGGACTTCCTGAGGGGCAGCCACGGCCTGGGGGCCCCTTTGCTCCAGAACAGGATGCTGTCACAAAGAACAAAACTTGCCGAATTGCTGCCAAGCCTTATGAAGAACAAGTCAATCCTGTCCTCTTGACTCTCAGCCCTCAGACAGGGACCCTGGCGCTGTCTGTTCAGCCTAGCAGTGGGGACATTGGAGTGAATCAAGGACCTGAAGAATCTGAGAGCCACCTCTGCTCTGATAGTACTCCTAAGATGGAAGGCCCCCAGGCAGCCTGTGGCCTAAAGCTGGCAGGAGACACAAAGCCTAAAAACCAAGTGCTGGCTGCCTATATGTCCCATGAGCTGGTCTTGGCCACCCCCCAGAACTTGTGCAAGATGCCTGAGCTGCCTTTGCTACCTCATGACAGCCACTCTAAGGAACTCATTTTAGATGTGGTTCCAAGCAGCAAGAGGGGCCCCAGCACAGACCTTTCGCAGCTTGGAAGTCAGGTGGATCTGGGGCGGGTGAAAATGGAAAAAGTGGACGGTGATGTGGTCTTCAATTTATCCAACTGCTTCCGGGCTGATGGTCTCCCGGCAGTTCCCCAGAAGGGCCTGGCTGAAGCTCGCGCGAAAGCTGGGCAAGCTCGAGTGAAACGGGAAAGCGTTGGGGTCTTTACTTGCAAGAACAGTTGGCAACCAGATGAAGAGACAGAATCTCTGCCACCCAAAAAGTTGAAGTGTAACAAAGACAAGGAAATTGAGGAAGAACCACAGCAGCAGCAACAGCATCAGCAGCAACAACAGCAACAGCAGCTACAGCAGCTGCAGCAGCCGCTGCAACAGCCACAGCACCAGCAGCAGCAGCAGCAGCAGCCACTGCTGCCGCCGCCTCCGCTGCTGCCACAGCCACATGATAAACCTATGGTCCGGAATTCCCTGGGATCCAAGGTGGGTGCCAGTGTATGGTTGAGAACTTCTGATGGTCTGCTTCACTTGTGGGTCTCTGCTGCGTTTGACCCCTCCCTCCCCACTCCTAGACAATGTTCTTGAGCAGCTTAGCTGTGTGAACAGAGCTGATGAATGGAAGACTTTCCCCTTTTAACTCACGGGCTCTGTATATATTTTTACCTGGAAAGGGCCTAGCTCATTCCTTGGGATGTAGGAAATGATTTCATCCTTGGGGACAGGGAAGCCATTGTCCTAGATAAAGTAGGAAAGCAGAAGAAGGTATTGGTGAAGGAAATCACTTAATCACGGGCTTTTCCCTGAGGAACAATTCTTCCTGGTCCTTTAAAGATGATGGACCACCGGCCTTGGCAGTTTGGGGCCCAGGGAAGGAAGGAACTTTTTGATAGGATCATTTTGGCCCCACTTCTTCCTAGTTCTGTGACATTGATTAAGCTTGCTACTTAATCTTTTACACTTAGTTTCTTCATCTCTGCAATGAGACAAATAATAGTACTTATTCAGAGGGTTGTTGGAAAGATCAAATGAGATGTTGATAGGAAATATCCAGAACAGGCAAATTGATAAGAGGGAAAGTAGCCTGATAGTTGCCTAGGGCTAGGAGATTTGTTGAGTAACCAATTAATGGGAGTAGAGTGTCCATTCAGGGTGATGAGAAAGTTCCTGTAAGAGGCCAATGGTGATAGTTACACAATTCTGTGTTTATACCAAAAACAATTGCATTGTACGTGTAAGTGAATTGTACAGCATAGCTCAGTAAAGCTGTTACAATTAATGAGATGGTGTATGAGTGCTTAGAATAGTACTTGGCACATAGTTAAGCACTCAGTTGATGTCAGTGGCTGCTTTTGTTTTTAGTATCACAAATAGAATGGCTCCTGCCCTCATGGAGCTTATGTCTTGCCATGTTGACTTAATGACAGGTAGGCATAGCCCTTCCTCTAGGAGATGACTGGTTCGGTAGGCCAATTGAGAAATGAGGGGAGCAGAGAATAAAGTTACAGGATAAGGAGAAGGCAACCAGCACTTCCAGTTTTTTCCTTTGGAAACTAAATAATCCAGGTGTTTTGTTAGGTCCCATTTTGTTGAGAAACATGTGATTAATAACTAAGCTAAGCTGGGGCATTAATTCAAAACAGCCCACTGTTGGAGGTGGCCAGGAGGCAGACTAGGCTCCTGTTACGTGCGTGAATTATGTTTTGTTCAACATTTTTATTACATTTATATTTATTTTCTGTGCTCATGTGCATATATGTGTGGTACATGCATGCTACAGCATCTGTGTGGAGGTCAGTGGACAATTTCAGCAGTTCTCTTTCTACTGTGTGGGCACCAAGGATCGAACTCAGATCATTGTATGTAGCAGCAAGCACCTTTACCTGCTAATGCATCTTGCCTGCCAAAGAATTATGTTTCATTTGATGCTGCCCGAACTTTATTCTTGTCTTTTGAAATGTATTTCAAAACTCCATTAACCTGAACACTGATCTTGATTTCTCCATCCTCCCAACTTCTCGTGTAGTTGGAGTGCATCATATATTTTTACTTTTCACTGCTGCCCTGGCAGAAGATACAAAAAGAAATCTCTTTTAGATGTTCTGTTATGTCTACCTTAGGAAGTAAAAGTTAATGATCTCTACTCAAAAGAGGCAGCTAAAAACAATATTTAGAAGTAAATAGGACATGTTCAAAATTTTATGTGCATTTAACTTTATTTCTCTTGGCTTAAAATAGTTGTTCTTTGGATGTACCTGAAGGTCACACTTTAAGTAATCATCCTTATCTTTCTCTTTTCTCCCTAGTTCTTTGATTCTTAACACTTTGGTTCATAGGAATGGCAGTAACTTGAGTTTCATTCAGCTTAGTCCTCTACTGAGTAATGGGCCTGTGCCTGGAGAATTGAAGGTTCTTTCCCTTCAAATATCCCATCAGTAAGATAGCTACCATCCTGTTTGCTGGAACTAGAGTTTGATAACCGTACTGGAAGGTGATATAGATGTGATTATGGGAAAACGTGTTAGTCTTCATCCCAGTGACTAAGTATCTGAGAAAATAATGAGAGAAGAATAGTTTGTTTTGGCTCACGGATTCAGAGATTTCAGTCCCTCGTAGTAGGAAGAGCGTAGTGGAGTAGAAGAACAGCAGCCCATGGCAACCAAAGGAGAAGAAAGGAGGGAGGGAGGGAGGGAGAGAGGGAGAGAATGAGGATACGAATGAATGTATGTCTGTAGTACTGGGCTCCCATTTTCTTATTTTGTGTTTGGGTGCTCATTGTGGGTATGTATACATGTATGCAGGTACCTGTGCAGGCCCAAGGTCAGCCTTGGGTGTGATTCCTCACTAGCTGTCCACTTTGTGTTTTGAGACAGCGTATTTCTCTGGAACCAGGAGCTCACCAATTATACTAGACTCATTGAGGGATCCACCTACCTCTGCCTCCCTAGTGCTGGGATTAAAAGCACGTACTACCACACTTAACTATTTTTCTGGTGATGAAACTCAGGTCCTTGTGCTCTTGTAGCAAGTACTTGACCTTCTAGAACTGCCTTCCCAGCCCATCACTTTTCCCTTTTCTATCTGGGTCCTTAACCTATGATATGATGCCCCCTACCTTTAAGGCAGGTCTCTTCCATCCTTAGTTAATTCTCTCTGGAAAAAAACCACAGATACACCCAGAGTTATATAGCAGTTTGTCAATCCAGCCAAGTTGAGTAATCAAGATTTACTACCATATAACTTCAAGTAGGGTTTTTGTTGTTATTTGATTTTACTGTTGTTGTTTGGTTTTTTTGTTTGTTTGTTTTTTTGAGACGGGGTTTCTCTGTGTAACAGCCTGGCTGTCCTGAACTGACTCTGTAGACTAGGCTGGCTTCGAACTCAGAGATCCACCTGCCACTGCCTCCTGAGTACTGGGATTAAAGGTGTACACCACCATGCCCAGCTGACTTTGAGTATGTTTATCTCTTCCTGTCGTCTTAAAACTTAATTTCACATTCCCTAGATCTACATTACTAGAAACATCTATCTTATCCCATTTCTTGTTTAGTGTCATGGAGGGGCCTCAAAGCTTGTGGAAATCTATGGCTTTGGGATGGAGTTCTATTCTATCTAGTAGTAAGCTGATAACCCAACAGTAGGTGAGAATGGGACTGAGCAGAAACAGTTGATGAAAAGGCAGCAAATAGGGAAGGAGACTCTTGAAAGCTGATGAGAAGAGGCCCAGCTATGAGGGCCAGGAGTCCCAGCTCTATCTTTCTTACTGCAGGTGTAAATGAGCTACCTTGCAGGGTGGCCTGGTAAGTGGCACCCCTTGAGTCAATGTGGATGCTAGACTGTGTGGCCCAGGAAAAGTCAATTGACCTCTTGTCTTAGAGTCTCAGTTTCTTCATCTGTTCATTGAGGTAGTTGTTACGATAAAGCAAATGGTAGCATTCCAAGTGATACAGAGTGTAAAGCAGCCTTTAATATATACTCAGCTTCGAAGGCAACTCCAGCTGGTGTTCAGCCTGGAGCACTGGCGGGGCAGTGGGGACTCCCGTGGAGATGGCTTGCGCAGCTGCGCGGTCCTTGTCCGACCAGGACAGGTTTATTTGTATCTACCGTGCTTACTTAAATAATAAGACCATAGCGGAGGGGAGGCGGATTCCCATAAGTAAGGCTGTAGAAAACCCTACCGCTACTGAGATTCAGGACGTATGCTCAGCAGTTGGACTGAATGCATTTCTGGAGAAAAACAAAATGTACTCCAGAGAATGGAACCATGATGTTCAGTACAGAGGCAGAGTCCCGGTACAGCTCAAACATTAAGGTGGCAGCCTCTGTCTTGTACAGTTCCCATCACGGAAGTCAGTGATACTGTATGTAGCAGAAATGATACCCAAGCTAAAAACAAGAACAACAACAACAAAAAAAGATGGTGCTGACCCAAGTCTTCAGCAAGGAGAGGGGAGTAAAAAAGGGAAAGGAAAGAAGAAGAAATGATGTGGTGTGAAGGTGAAGCACGCAGTCCTGCTGTGAGAGACCTGGGCATCTTTGTGTCAGAGGGAGCAGCTTTCTGTATCTGTCATTTGACTGAACTGTGAACAGTGTGTCTCCCATCTTCATCAGCAGTTAACAGTGAGATAAGTTTACATCCAAAGTCTGCATCTAGCTTTTATACTGTAAAAAGGAAAGGTTGTGTGTGTGGAAGAAAGAAGACTATTTTTAACAGATAATGACTGTCCCGTAAGTTACTTGAAATCCTGTATCTGTTTGTCCTCTATGTAAACACATATTTCAGGTAAATAAGTTGGATAAAATTTGAAATACAAATGTGAATGGTATAGCAGGCCTGGCCCTGTCCATTGTGTTCATAGGGAGATGGGAATCACACCTCCTGGGTATTGTTCCTCTCCTTGCTGTACTTGAATCCATTTTCTGGCATTAACTGACACATGAGAAAAGTTTTTCTTGACTATTCTCAGAATTATTTTCAATTGATAGTAACACAGTGTAAACCATCCAACTTACAGAAGAGACATTTTTGTTTAATGCTTATCTCTTAACTTATGTATGGGTATGCACAGTATGGGGCCTGACTTTGGACCTTATAAAACAACTTTGGATGTATGTTCAGGGGCCACGAATACAGATTCTGTAGATATCTTTAAAGTTATGTGGATGCCTGAGGGGACCAGCAAGGGCATTTGACTCAGTCCAAGAGAGCCTTTATAGCCCACTGTGTCCTATAATACCATGACACACACACTGCCAGTCCTAACTCTGGGAAGTTCATATCCATGTGTGAGCAACAGGCACATAACTTGACCTTGGAAGAGGATTCTTAAGAAGCAAAACTGACCTCAGATCTGACTCCTTCTCCCTTTTCACAGTGCCGGAAGCTGCCTGGAGAACCCCAGGAACCCACCAAGAAAAGCCCTAGAGTGGCTTCAGATTCAGGAAAAGAGCACAATGGAGTCAGGGGAAAGCACAAGCTTCGGAAGCCAGCAAAGCCAGAGTCCCAGCCTCCAGGAAAACGAGCTGATGGCCATGAGGAAGGTAGGCCCCAAAGGCTATGCGTGACCTTGTAGCCTGAGCGCCAGAGGGATCCAGTGGAATTTTGGTGGGGAGAGAGTAGCTGAGAGATTGAGTAGAAAATGGATCCTTCCATGCTGTGGAGTAGAGCTAGAATTGGAACCTCTGAAGTCAACAGCCAGGGAGGATGGATGTATTCTGACCTAATGTGTTAGAGTACCACATATTCTGAAGTCTTGGCATTGAATAAGGTAGCTTGCTAACAGATAGATGGCAGTCCTACAATAGAGTCATTAACCCATTTCCACGAGATGGGATTAAGGCTCAAAGAAGCAGCAGCTGTAAGAATACTTAGACAGCCAGGTGGTGGTAGCGCACGCCTTTAATCCCAGTGCTGGGGAGGCAGAGGCAGGCAGATCTCAGTGAGTTTGAGGCCAGCCTGGTCTACAGAGCGAGATCCAGGACAGGCACCAAAACTACACAGAGAAACCCTGTCTTGAAAAAAGCAAAGAAAAGAAAAGAAAAGAAAGAAAGAAAGAAAGAATACTTAGACAAAAACAGCAGAATTGGGATTCATTACACTGTTTTCTCTACCTTTTGTTATATTGGAAAACTCCCATTGTAAAAAGTTCAAAACCAATAGCTGACTAGCTAGCTTGCTAGAAAGGTTTACAGATGTCCCAAAACCTTTTTATCAGTTAAGAATGTTTGGAGCCAGGTGGTGGTGGCGTACGCCTTTAATCCCAGCACTCTGGAGGCAGAGCCAGGCAGATCTCTGTAAGTTCGAGGCCAGCCTAGTCTATAGAGTGAGTTCCAGGAAAGGCGCAAAGCTACACAGAGAAACCCTATCTTGAAAAAACAAACAAAAAAGAATGTTTGGGTTGGGTATGGGGTATATTTGACCTATATACTCTGTTATAGATGACCCAGGCATTCCTGGCTACAGTAGTCCATGTTCATGACCTCGCTCATTGGACATGACCTAACTCCTCTACTTTGCTCTTGTATACCTGTTTCCATTTGTCCACCTCCTCTTGCCTTACCTTTCTAAGGTCCATTGAGGTTGCTCTTGTATGGGATAGGCTACAGCTCAGTTCGAATGTAACGAACATACAACAACCTTCGAGTTATGTAGGCAGATATTCTACTTTGGGACATGCTGTTGAATTGATTGGGTGCATTGCTTTATTGATGCCAGTAAAAATGGCCCATCCCCCAACTTTCAAAACCACCATTCCCAAAGAGATGGGTAGTGGTGGTAGCATAAGGAGAGTCAGCTGGGGTAAGCCAGGGTAACTGCAGGGTCAACCCAAACCTTTTGGTTTTCTCATTGGAACATCACATGTGGGCTTTCTGGTTTATAGATTTCTAATTGTGATATTCCTGCCTTCTGCCCCCAAACCACACATCACTCCAGGTTCCTTGGAAAAGAAAGCGAAGAGCAGTTTCCGTGACTTCATCCCTGTGGTTCTGAGCACTCGGACACGCAGTCAGTCTGGTGAGTAAGACCAAGGGTAAAAGCTTGCCTTGGCTTCTTTGAAAAGGTAGACAATGGGCTTGATTTTGCCATTGGTACAAGTAGACAGTTGGCATTTTGCTTCCCTGTGCTAAAATAACAGGCTCCTTGCAGGGACAAGAGAGTCCTGGGTAGGGGCAGAGGGATCACCTACACTTTTAGGTGGTTTGCTTAGCTATGTTAGATTAGGGATTTGACATTAACTCCTGGAAATTTTGATAATGCCTGTCACATAGGATGATGGGATTAAAGCCTAAAGGTTGAATGTCTGCACTTGAGATGGGCCCCAATGATCATGAGATGCATCTGCAGCTCCTTTGCTGATATGGCAGAGAAGCTAGGAGGTCTTCCCTACAGAGGAATAGGAGGTGCCACCCCAACTAAGAGAAGAAAGGTGCCATTGAGTGTTCTGGGCAGGCACAATCGCCTTTGGTCCATTGAACTTGTCTAGGGTCTAAAGAAGATAGTCGTTTCCAGCTTGTGCTCTTTTCTGCTGGCTCTCTGTTGGTACACAGGACAGAGATGGTTGCCTGCACTCACTCAGATTTCCATGCAAATTGGAAGAATAGAGAAGCATGGCCCAATGAAAAGTCAATGATCTTACGTCCTGTTAAGTGCCACCTCAGCACATGGTGAGCTCTATGGTAATTGGGGCTTATAATGATGGCCTGGAGGCCTCACAAAGTCCTGAAGTGTCCTCTGAATCATCAAAGAGTGATTACATTATGGCCAGTCCCATTTTTGTGTTAAACACATTGTGCTGTATTTGATTCTTTGGAAATTGGTGATTTCTGTGTGATCTCTATGGTGATTCTGTATTAACTGTAATATTAGATTAACTAGAACACTCTGTTCCCTGCCTGGTCCATATAATGCAAAGTTTAGTGGGCTAGTTGCTGTCTTTAAGCAGTCTGACCAACTTGAAGCTTTGGTCAAGGGCTGCTTTTTCCTTCCAACCATTTCTTTCTTCTGCTGACCTCACTGGGGTCTAGGGATTGTTGAGTTAACATGGTAGTGTTGCTTCTAAAAAAGCTGTTAGATCTCCTGTAGTGTAAAACCAGGCCAATTTAGAATTGTGCTTTTATTGTTAGCAGCGTTAAGGGTAAGTGAGGAGAGAGAAAATAGCCTCTGGGCAAGGTGGCCCAGGAGAGTCGGAAAGATGCTGTTTGTCCCAGGGCGATCAGGAGTAGAGGGGGTGTGCTTTCCCAGCAGCAAGGAACAGCTGCAGTGGATGGGCAGATGGACTAGAAAGAAAACCCGACCCTTGAACTTCTGGCTACTCTGTAGGAGGTGGGATCAGTTTAATGGAAGTGGCCTGCTGTGTTCTACTGGGACATGCCTGAGTCAAGCTATGTCATAGGAAAGGGACTCCTTGCTTCTATGTTAGAGACACTCTTTTGTGATGATTCTGCTTGGCCAGGGTAGCTCTGTTGGCCATACTTGTGGAACCACAGAGTTATGGGGCCTAAGTTGTAATACCAGACTTCCTTACCTCCTTGCCTTCAGCTCAGATGTTTTTACTGAACAGCAGAGAACTGAGGCTCTCTTCTTCCCTTTATGCTATGTTTAGCTCCTGGTAAACACTGAGCAAGAGTTTGTGAAATGGGGCTGGAGAGATGGCTCAGAGGTTAAGAGCACTGACTGCTCTTCCAGAGGTCCTGAGTTCAATCCCCAGCAACCACATGGTGGCTCACAACCACCTTGAATGAGATCTGGTGCCCTCTTCTGGCCTGCAGTCACATATGCTGTATACATAATAAATAAATGAATTTAAAAAAAAAAAGAGTTTGTGAAATGAATTCAAGTAACACTGTGCCATGGATGAGTAAGGGATGATTTTTAGTACTTCATAATTGTGTGGTATTTTAGACTCTATAAAGTAAGTACTTAAGACTGAAAGACTTCAGTCCTGTGAGGTAAATGTACCAGTAATAAGTGACAGAGCATGAACTTGAACTCTGTACTACGAATTCCTCTCCCAGGACAGTTGTGTCAATACCATACTTAATCCCTTGAAGAAGCACCTGAAAGTCTTCTATATTTCTCATCCATAGGAAGCATCTGCAGCTCTTTTGCTGGTATGGCAGACAGTGACATGGGAAGCCAGGAGGTCTTCCCTACAGAGGAGGAGGAGGAGGTGGCTCCCACCCCAACTAAGAGGAGAAAGGTGAGAAAGACCCAAAGGGACACCCAGTACCGCAGCCATCATGCCCAGGACAAGACCCTGCTGAGCCAAGGCCGCAGACATCTGTGGCGAGCCCGAGAGATGCCCTGGAGGACAGAGGCTGCCCGGCAAATGTGGGACACCAATGAAGAGGAGGAAGAAGAAGAAGAAGAGGAGGAGGAGGAGGGCCTGGTGAAGAGAAAGAAACGGAGACGACAGAAGAGCCGAAAATACCAGACTGGGGAGTACTTGACAGAACAAGAAGAAGAGCAGCGGCGGAAAGGGAGAGCAGGTAAGGTTGGCCGTGGGGCTGCTAGTCCTGTTTTGAAGTCAGCTGGGAATCTTAGGCCCAGTGGCATTCATAAGCCCTCCTCACCAGTTGAAGGCCTTAGGACTGACAGGAACTTGGTACTGTGGTCTTCACCTGTCACGGGAGCTCACTCAGATCCACCTTGAGTATGTGGCTTTGAATCTGGAAGGAAGGAATTCAAACTAGCCTACAGGTAAGCTGAGGACGTGGGCACCCTTACCTTCTGGTTTCTTATAGACATCTGAACCTGTGGTCCATGCCATGGTGATATTCTTGGCATGGGCCAGTGTCATACTAGGGAGTTCTGGTTAGCTTGAAAAAGTCAAGTCTTGGAGGTTCTCCCTTTTGGGATCTTGGGTTTAAAAAGAAAGAGGAACCAGGTGTGGTGCCTGTCGTCCGAGTGCTCAGGAGGTTGAGGTAAGAGGACAGCGAGTTTGGAGCCACCCTGGGCTGCATAGTGAGATCCTGTCTCAAAACAAATAAGGAGGGCATTGGCTGCCATACTTAGGATGCCTCTGCTCATAAACTAAAATGAAATGTAGTAGTTCTCTAAAGGCAACAGAAAACCTTGAAATATGTAAAACCTGGTATCTTAGGTAAAGCCATGAGGAGTTTTTTAGAGTCATAGTCAAGTTTTGAGGTGACATAGGTATTTGTTGGTCCTGAGCTGTGAAAGCAGGCAGTTCAGAAAGAAAACCTTCTGTGGCCATGTCAAATGCTTTAAATATGATCATAGAGGGATAGACAAGAGGTTCACCCCAGTATCCTTCATTAAGTACAATTCAGGCCTATTCCCATAGTGGGTTTCTAATTGAACAAAAAGCCCATCTCTGGATTCCATAGGAACACGTTTGTCTTTGCTTATTCTCTGACCGCTTCTCTTGAAGCAACAATCAATTGTCTCTTACAATATATTCACTCTGAGCTGCTGATAAATATGTATAGTCCCCTTATTAGCTAAACAAAAGCAGCTCACGTTGAGTAGGCAGTAGATCCTTGGTATACTATAATGCAAAGAAGGCTTAACCTCATTTCTGACTCATTTAAGTGGAGATATATATGATACCTATCCCTACACTTGAGGGTAATTGAGCTCATTTTCATCGACTATCTGAACAAGTGGGGCAATTTTCCCCTTCTTTTGCCAGAACCGAAATGGATTGGTCATGAATGAGTTGTCAAACCATTGGCCTCTGCCTCTTGTTAGGATGATGAGAAGCTTTTGTATTACCCATCCTCTCTAATGAAGGCTGCTTTCCTAGCTTGGAAGTGTCTCATAGATCTACCAGCTCTTTCTTTTTATTTTTTCTTCTTTTTTTGTGGAGGGAGGGGTTTCTATTATGTTGACCTGGCTGTCCTGAAAATCACTATGTAGACCAGGCTAGCCTCAAACTCACAGAGATCTGCTTGCTTCTGCCTCCCAAGTGCTAGGATTAACAGCATGTGCTACCACTCCCAGTTATCAGGTCTTTCAATCAGAAGGACCTCTTTAGAGTTTCCTGGTCCCATTTGCTACACAGTACACACATAGAGAAGTTGCCACAGCATTGTCATAGGGACTTAGCTAGCCTTTGCTAGGACATCTACAGTAACCATGGAGAACACCAGTGATGAAGGTATCTTGTTTGGAGGCAGCCCAGACTGTTGAAAAGTAGATCATTCTCCTTCTAGGGTATGCCAGGGAGCTTTGCATTGAGGCCACTGGTGTTGGCATATCTCTTCATGCAGAAATTTCTTTTTTAAATATATTTTTATTAATTTTTTGGAGACTTTCGTTTGTTTATGAGTGCTTTCCTTGTATGCATGTCTGTGTACCACATTCATGTAGTACCTGAGGAGGCCAGACTGGGGCATTGGATCCTCTGTAACTGGAATTATAGATAGTTGTGAACTCATGTGGATGCTAGGAATCAAACCTGTGTCCTCTGGAAGAGCATCTAGTGCTCTTAACCACTGAACCATCTCTCCAACCCATGTGGGAGTTTCATAGCAAACATTTCTCTCCTAGAAAGCTCTAGTCTCCCTTATCTACTTACTATCTGGCTTTCAGGTAAGTGTCAGAGAAGTTGGAAATGGACAAACTAGGCAGATCACCCTACTTCTATCTAACTCTTATAACCTCTCCTTTCATCCTGTGCTTGGCTGTCTGCCTTTTTATTCTGTGAAAGAGGTAGAAAGACCCATTTCCATGCACCTGCCTGTCACCTTCACTCTGTGCCTTTGTAGGCTAACATAAAGCTCTGGTTCTGCAATTGAATATACTCCAGAGCTTGCCCTACCATTGGTACATGAAATAGATGGCTATTTATTTTCCTCTTTATTGAATTCTGTAATGTGGTTTCCCCATGCTTCCTGCAGTTTTCACAAGGCAAAGTTCTGTTCCTTCCTCTTGCTTTAACCCATACTTGTTGGGTCAGAAGCCCTGGGTTAAGGCTGGGCATGATGGTGTATATCTTTATTTGCAGCACCCAAGAAGCAGAGGTAGGCGAATCTTCATGAGTTCTAGACTAACCTGGTCTACATAGTGAATTTCAGGCCATCCAGGACTATATACTGAGACCCTGTCTTAAAACCAAGAGGCCTGGTGGTGGTGGCGCACACCTTCAATCCCAGCACTCCGGAGGCAGGGGCAGGCAGATCTCTGTGAGTTCGAGGCCAGCCTGGTCTATGGAGCGAGACCCAGGACAGCCAGGGCTACACAGAGAAACCCTGTCTCAAAAAAAACCAAACCAAACAAAAACAAAAAGATAGCTGCTGGGAAAGTGAAAATCCATTTTCTTCATTGGAGAGACTCTGGGTATATCATCCACACTCCAGGGCAGGCCCTGTGCTTCTTTCTTAGTTGGGCAACACAAAATGGATTCCATGGTTTCTTTGTGGGCTTTGTTTTGGTTTGGTATTTTTTGTCTTGCTGGTTTTTTCATTGGTTTTTATTTTTTTAGAGAGAAAAAACATGATGAAGTTGAGTAGGTAGGGGTGGGGAGGATCTGGGAAGAGTTGCGAGAGGGGGAAAACATGTTCAAAATATATTGTCTGAAAAAAGTTTTTAATTAAAAAAAATCAAGAAAAAAAAAACCTAAGTTAGTGTTCCTGCTGGAGTGGTCATTAGAGACCATGTAGCACGACATTTCTTGGACACATTGTGAAGACCACTAATACACTAAGTGGAATAAAGCTAGGACTTCTTTGTTACATGCATAAGCTATAGCCAATTCCATTCCTTTCTGTTATTGTTGTTGTTATTGTTGTCTTTGAGACAGGGTCTCTCTACACAGCCCTGGCTGTCCTGGAACTCAATACATAGACCAGGCTGGCCTCGAACTCACAGACCTCCATCTGCCTCTTCCTCCTGAGCACTGGAATCAAAGGTGTGCACCACCACACCCACCCAATTTTCCAGTCTTGAATGAGGACTCCTACATCTGCATCTGCCCTTGGCAATTTCACATATGAGAGTCCATGTCAAGTTTGGGGTGGGGGTGAGTTGAGAACTCTGTGATTTCAATCCCTTCATTTCACAGGTGGTAGGAACCTGAGGTTACAGTTAGTTCATAGCCTTATTGATCTGTTGTGTGCTAGGCTCAGTGTTCAATCTTGCACTGAAGTCATACAATATTAATGCCTTAATCTTTATAACACTTTATAGAAGAAAATTTTGCTTGGATCAACTCGATCCTGCTACCATTTCTGGGACTTGAATTATATTCTCCCCATTTATAGATAGGGAAACTGAGGTTCAAAGAGATTATGGATTGCTTCTATTCTATTGCATAGTTAATGGTAAGCCAGGGATAAGAATGTAGTAGTTTTTAGTTGGTTAGGATGCTTGCTTACAATGCACAAAGGCTTGGGTTTGATTCCCAGTACTACATAAACTGGCTGGGGTGGAATATGCATGTAATCCCAGCACTTGGGAGGTGGAGGCAAGAGAATCAAAAAGTCAGAGCCATTGGCCCATGTTGAGTTCAAGGCTGACTTGTTACATAGTGCAGCAACAAACAAGAGAGACCCTGCCTCAATACAAGGTGGAAGGAGAGAACTGATACCTGATGTTGGCCTCTGACTTTCATATGCTCACTGTAGCACACTTGTGCCCACACTCACACAACTGCATACATATACACCCACACATACAAGCCATACAACTCTATTGTTAATACAAGTGAATACAACTGAATGGTTTATGTCACCTATACAAGAGGTTTAGGGCAGACCATATGGTGTGAGGCTCATGCTAGTGGAGTTTGTAGCAGAGCTTTTTGAAATTACAATTCTAGACACATGGTGCCATGTACCAGTAATACCAATGACTTGATTTCCAAACAAGGAAGGCAGTGGCTTTCTGCCATTACACATAAGTCAAGTAGGCTCATAATACCTTCTGGATTGGGGAATTTCTGTTGCATTGATCTTGGTGTCTTCAGACAGTAACAAACAGGACAATTGGGTGGGGAGAACTGAGATCATAAAGTCAGCCTTCTACTTTGATCTTACATCCCACTGTACTCGATACTTTAGCAAAACTGCTAAATTGGTTTTCATTTTCTTTTTTTTTTTTTTTTTTTTTTTTTGGTTTTTTTCGAGACAGGGTTTCTCTGTGTAGCTTTGCGCCTTTCCTGGAACTCGCTTTGGAGACCAGGCTGGCCTCGAACTCACAGAGATTTGCCTGCCTCTGCCTCCCAAGTGCTGGGATTAAAGGCGTGCGCCACCACCGCCCGGCTGGTTTTCATTTTCATTCAAGAAAGAAAGAGGATGGAGAAAAGGCTGAAAAGAGATTCTGGTTGGCTCTGGGCTATGGGGAGATCCTTTTTAAATGACCCACATTTTGGGGGCCAGCCAGATGGGCTGCCCTCTGCTGGCAGGGCTGAAAACTGCCTCCTGTGGATAGAAGAGGGATTTGTATGGCGAAGCAATAAAGGATGGTGTTCCATTTCTCTTACAGTCATTCTTTCCCGTTTCTTGTTCAGATTCAAAGGCCCGTAAGCAGAAGACTTCCTCCCAAAATTCAGAGCACTGCCTCAGGAACAGGAACCTTCTCCTGTCCAGCAAAGCCCAGGGGATCTCGGACTCACCAAACGGTTTCCTCCCAAATAACCTGGAGGAGCCAGCCTGCCTTGAAAATTCAGAAAAGCCATCAGGAAAACGAAAGTGCAAGACCAAGCACATGGCAAACGTCTCAGAAGAGGCAAGGGTGTGTGGCCACCAAAGGGATGAGCGTGGCGGGTATGGGCTCGAGAGGCAGACTTTCTACCAGGTCCCTCCGGCAGTAATTTCCTCAGGGAGGGTGAAGGAAACAAGTAGATAGAGGACGTCAGCCAAGGTGTATGCAAGTATTTGAAACAAGTTCCAGAAGGGTTGGGACAGATTGAAAGAGTGGAAACTAAAGTTATAGTTAACTCGATGGTTTGACCCCTGATTTCTTTTCCCCAACAATCTTTGTATCTCCTTTGAGTTAAGATACAGTTAAAGGATGTGGCGGTGTGCTAGCCTGAGTAGGTTGTTAACATCTAATCAAAAAGCTTTCGTCTGAGCTTAACTCACTAGACACCAGTCACGGAGCTCCTTGAGACAATCAAGGTAGAAGCCAACTTGTAGAAGCCAGGATTTGGTTCTCTAGATCAAGGTTTCTTGAGGGTCTAGGTTAGCTGCTTTTTCCAATCTGTCCCCTGTTCCTTTGCCTCTGGAGGAAGCCTAGGTTGGGTACTCACCAGTTAGTTAGGCAAGCATTCTTTGACTCTTTTTCAAAATCACCAGTTCATTTGGTTCTGATGTTCATAACAGTTGGTGTTGGTGTCAGATTCTTCCAGGTACCACTAAAGAAAAAAATAAGACAGTCCTCATGCTGGGTGAGTTTTACATTTGAAGGAAGTGAAGGTCCAGTGTGTACCTATGATAGGTATCTGTCATTGACAACCCCAAATCAAAAGGCCACGTTGGGCTGGTTTGGTTAGTTATGATTTTTACCCTTCTGTCTAGCTTTCAAGTAGGAATTCCCAAATGGTACTAGCAAAGAAAGGATGGATGTTTGTCTTCCCCCACCCCTTCCTCCATCCTCCCTCATGAATCCTTGTTGCAGCTTAGACAAGGCACTCAGGTCTGTTTTGCTCATCTTTTAAAATGGAGCTGATGCTCCTTGCCCTTTCTTGTCTCACAAGGGTGCTTGCGGGGAACAAAGGAGGCAGTGCCTGTGACAGGCTTTGATAACCGTAAAGTGTTCTCTGAGGGTTGGTGTGCATCCTTGCAGTTCAGGCAGAGACAGGAATGAGAGAGGCGGAGGTACAGCATGACAGACTGTGGCCTGGCGTGGCAGGATAGCCGTTCCCTGCAGCCCTTAGATTATGAGAAAGATAAGGGCTCACTGAGGAGTACAGAAACCTGCTTTGAACTAAGTGCCTCTTAGTTCCTGCTGTCACTCTTCTTATTTAATGTATGTGTTTGTGTTGTGTGTATACACATTCATGTGTATAAATGCAGATTCATGCCATAGCACAAGTGTGGGGTCAGAGGACAACCTTGACTGTAGGGCTTTACCTTCCACCTTGTTTGAGACAGTCTCTTTGTTGTTTTCCTGCTACATACACTGGGCGAGCTGGCGTGAAATTTTCGGTGGATTCTTCTGTATCCACCTCCCATCTTCCCACAGAGTGCTGGGTTTATAGGCACTTGTGCCACAACTCCAGCTTTTGTATGGGTTCTTGGGATTCAAACTCAGGTCTCATGCTTGTATGGTAATTGCTTTTACCCACTGAGCCATAGCCCCAGCCCTCCTGTTCTCACTCTTAATTCCTGAGTGCTTCTTGGAGGCAGGCGCTTGTATTCCAGTCATTAAAAGGACTTGTGTGAAGCGACGCAGTGGTCCTGCTTGCCAGAATCAGGACGTGAAAGAAATCTGTCTGCCTCGGGAGGAGCCCTGGTTGTCAGTATGCCTTACAGTCTCTGACTAGGTGCTTTCTGCCTATTTCTGGGATATCCCTGGGAAGTGGGTGAGTAGGCAGAAAACACTGCCACCTTGAAGTAGTTCTGAGAGAGGTAGAGGTCCCAGGGTCCTGCCCCTCCTCACCATCTTTCCTGGACACTCAGATGCCCCATCCCACACAAAGGTAGCCCGCCGCTGGACCCTGAGCAGCACAGTCTTATGCTTCAGTCTGGTTGTTCTGTCTGGCGATGTGTCTGCTAAAACGTTCTCCTGGAGAAGGTTTTGTCTCTCCCCAGGGCCTCCCTTCCTCCCTCTCGCCTTTCTTTCTCTCCCAGTCATCACCACCTGCTCCAGTTGCCCCCATGGCACGGGGCTTTGTAGTTGGAAGCAACGCAGGGGGAGGATTGGGGGACGCTCCTGCAACACTAAAGCGGGGCATTGGCCAAGGGCTTCTTCCCACAGGGGCTCGGAGCCAGGGGGACGAGGAGAGGGGGAGGGGTCCCCTACTTGTTCTCACTCCTCCCCCTCCCAGGCAGCCTGCTTGCCTGCTCTAGCAGCCTGGCCTCCAGAAAGAAATGTGCCCTTTGGAGCCTGGCTTAGCTTAGCAAAAACCTGGGTACATTACCCTGTGTCTTCCAGTCCTGTCATTGTAGTCTCCATCTTCCTGGTGATAAAAACAGTACCATATCCTCATGGTTGGTGCTTTCTTGCTAGCGCTTATACTTCCACCCTTGTGCTATAGAAACTGATCATGACCACTTGTGATCTTCAGATTTACCAGAGGGCAGATTCCCTGGACCTGCATAGTTTATCTGCTAGTGTTCCTTTCTTGACTTTATGTAACTTTCTTGGTAACTTTTCTGACTCCCCGGGGCTTTTTACATGGATAACTTGAATCAAGTCAACACATAATTGTGATGGATAATGTACCCAGCTCTGACTTCAGTGCTGGAAGCAACAAAAGAGAAGGTGACAGTATGAACTGTGTCCCTAAGGAGCTAAAGAACTAGTCGGAGAGCTAGGTGTAGGGGGTAAAGAAAGATTGCTTGATCCCTGAGTTGGATGTCAGCTTAAGCAATGTAGTGAGACACAGTCCTAAAGGACATTTGAAAAGAAAAGAAAAGAAAAACAACCTCACTAGGGGATGCAGACATCCCCTAGAAAACAGCAAGAATATAAGGAAGTGAGGTGTCAGACTAGATTCTAAGTAGGCTCTGGATATGCAGAAAGAGGGCAGTGGGGCTACAGTGTTGTAAAATAGTGTAGAAGACATAGGTTAAATGAAAATTTGATGCTCTGTGGGCTTTGAGTAAATATACGTGTTAGCCCCATTGTGGCATAAAAGATCACTCTAAAACCTAGTGGCTTTACACAACAGTAAGCAAGTATTATTTCATAGTTTCTGGAGCTCAGGAATTCGGGCCAGCTTAGCTGAGCCTAGTGTGGGGTTTTGCATGAGGTTGCAGTCAAGGTGTTAGGGCTACATCTATTTGAAGACTGGGAAGATGTGCTTCCAGTATAGTTCATACATGTGGCTGGTGTGATGATGCTGGCTATTGGCAGGAGGCCTCTTTTCCTTTCCTCATGGATCTCCCCAAAAAGCTGCTGGCTTTCACCACAGAACATGATTTGAGAGAGAATCATACAGGAGCCACAGTGTCTTTGGGGACCTGGCCTTGGAAGTCACCCCCCCCCACACACACACACTTTTGCAACTTCCTGTTAATTACCTAGGTGAGCCTTATCCCATGTGGGAAGGGAGCTACATAAGAGCTTGACTGTCAGGGGTAGCGTTCTCAGAGTCCATCATGGTGGACCCACCCTTAGTCTTCTTTCTGGCTTCGAGTGGATTCATGTCTCTCTTGTCTGCAGGGTATACTTAAACTCTGCTAACGCCCCTTGAGTATCATTCAGTTTCATATCTTAGACTCTCAGCCACGTTCAGCCGAGGCTGCTCCCATCTTTGAATACAGTGGTTCTTTCAGTGCAGTTACTTCAACACAGTTATTCCTCATCTAGAACCCGAGTTTGATATACAAGTGACCTGTACCCCCACAGACCAAGGAGGGTACAGGGAAACAAACATGGGAACCTTCTATGTACCTTCAGTTCAAAATGGGGCAAAGGGAAGCACCCATGGGTCACCTCTGAGGACAGAACTCTTAGAACATTGGTAGTCCATAGCCTTTGTAGTAGTTGGTTATCTCAAAGGCCCTCCAAGGGAGAAAGTAATGCTCAGAGGAGTTAGGTTCTGCTTCAGGTGTTGTAACTAGTGGATGGCAGAAGCAAACTTCAAACCCAGCCCTGTCTGGTTCCAGAGCCTCACAGTTCACTGTTGTAGATGGGCCTGAATATACTCTTAGGCCATGGTATGATGAAAGACGGGGAAAGCCTGTGAGGTTGGATATGGGGGCAGGTTTATACAATAAGAGTGAAGGTATTGAACAGTATGACGAGTCAGACTGCTGTCTCTTGTGTTTCTTTGTTCTTATTACTTACAGACACGGCTTATCCAAAACCTCAGTGACAAGTAGAGGAGGCATGCCAAGTGCTTTAGAGAAGCTGGGCTGTCTCTACCCATTTTTCAGTCCTCCTGCCATGCCATGGCTTATGGGGCTGAGGATCTTATACTCTGAACATCCACCCAAGGAAACGTAGAAGCTTTGCTCATTTGGCCAATAACCTCACATGGCTAGTGACTAGCCTAGCCTTCAGTCTCCAAGCTGACACTAGACTGGGCCACTTGGTGTACTGTCAGTAAAGCACAGCATGAGGGCAGATGTAGTGAGGTGGCTTTGGCAGCCAGATGGCATGGCCATGATGAATTGGATATGTTGCCTAGCCTGACCTAGGACTTCATTTCTTCTTTCCAGAGCAAAGGTCGTTGGAGCCAGCAGAAGACACGCTCTTCTAAATCTCCTACTCCAGTGAAGCCCACAGAACCATGTACACCCTCCAAGTACCGAAGTGCTGGCCCAGAAGAGGCCTCAGAGTCACCCACTGCCCGACAGATCCCCCCAGAGGCACGGAGACTCATCGTGAACAAAAACGCTGGTGAGACCCTCCTGCAGCGAGCAGCTCGCCTGGGCTATAAGGTGAGTAAGCTCTCCCTGAGCAGTCAGGCAGTGGCAGGATGACATTGGCCTGGACCTCAGGGAGCAGCTATGCCGTTGGCTCCTTTGGGGCCTAATTCTGGCTGGTCTCCCTCTGCTGTCAATATGGTCTCTGAGACTGCTCTGCCCCTTGTCTTATCTCAGTATGTGGGAAGGTAAGCTCATTGAAAAGTCAACTCAGGATAAATGCAATTGAAATAGTACACAATAGCATCCGCTACATCCCTAGGCTAGGAAGGGGATTTGTTTTACCTTACCTATGTAGTGGCTCCTCCAACCAAGAGGAACATAGGGCGATTACTGTTCACACTTTAACTCCTGTGGTTTCTCCTCATTTTGACTTTCATGTAGAAGGGGCAAGAGCATGTTCACTAAACAAAGCCAGAGCTAACCCCACTTCCTTATACGTGGGAAGGAGGGCAAACAAAGCAGTAGTCATATTAAGGACTTTGATGTAAGCCTATTCAGGTATGTCTTATTGCAAAGAAAAACCTAGAGTTAGCAATATTAAATGAGATGGCAAGATGTGTACAGTGGATTACCCAGGTGGTAACCCCAACTCCTGGGAGGTAGAGGTAGGCAAATCAGCAGTTGAAAGCTAGCCTCAGCTACATAGTGAATTCAAAGCTAGCCTGGGCTACCTCTGACTATCTCAACAAAAAAAAAAAAACAAGAAAAATTGTGTTCAGTATCCTTTATGACAGTATTTTTGTCTGAGTTCAAACAAGTCTTTTGATTCCCAAGTGCTGAGGAGTGGAAGGACTCCCCCATTTACCTTGATGAATTTACCTGAGGCTGAATGTTGGTATACATTTACATCCCTTTCCACTTTTTGTTGACACACAGATACCCTTTAATATGTATCTTCGCCTTTCTCCATGATGATTTCTTCTGGATTTATTTGTGGATGTGGGTTTAACTACATTCCAGAGTTTGCCTTCTGTATTAGGCTTTCTTTCTGTACCTATAAGTGTACAGACGGCTGTGCAGCTTTCATGGTGCCCCATCAAGCAGCCAGTTTACCTTTCTTGAATATTTAGTGTGGATGTCTGCATGGCTATCAGGGAGACCTGAATATGCACTGATAACCAGTCTCTGCGGAATCAACAAATAGGCGAACATTGGAGAAGCCAAGACCAGAGCTGGAACCTGGTCTGGAGAAGAGTGGGCATCTCTGTTAGTGAGAGTGTAGGAGGTCCACGTAAAGGCAGCAGGAAGCAACAGGCACAGCTCAGGCTCACAGTAGCTTTCTCCACCTGAAAGTGTTGACAGCAGAACAATAGTAGGTACCATGGTCTGGAAGCCAGTCGTCCAAGGGCACTGCCAACCCCCGCCCCAGTTTATTCAGAGCCTTGTCCTAGCCTAGCAGAAGTGCTTCAAGTCACTGGAGTTCCACCTCTGGTCCTGTCACCTTGTCGCTTCAGCCCCAGGAAGGTAGGCATGATCTGAGGCTGAGGGACAGAAGTGTATTGTGGGGCTAGAGATGTAGTTCAGATGCTTTGCCTAGCAAGCACAAAGCCCTGGACTCAATTCTCAGCACTGCATACACTGAGTGGAGTGCTCCATGCCTAGAACCCAAGTATCCAGGAGGCAGAGACAGGAAGAGCTGAAATTCAAGGTCATCCTTGGCTACATAGGGAGTTTAAGGCCAGCCTGGAATACAATGAGACTCTGTCTCAAAACAAGAAAACAAAACGGGAGTTGTGCTTGGTGCAGTGACTGGAATGACCCTATCAAGAACAGACCTCGCTAGGCCTTTAATCCCAGCACATGGGAGGCAGAGCCAGGCGGATGTCTATGAGTTCGAGGCCAGCCTGGGCTACAGAGTGAGTTTCAGGAAAGGCTCCAAAGCTACACAGAGAAACCCTGTCTCAAAAAAAAAGAAAAAAAGAAAAAAAAGAATAGACCTCCCCATCTGTGTCTTTTAAAGCTCAAAAGGTGAGTTCTGGGCATCAGCGAGGCCGCTCTGAGGACCTTACTCCAGTGATCACCACCTAGATGAGTGCTCTTGGCCATAAGAAATGTCTTCCTCGTGCCAAGGGATCAGCTCAGAGCTGGGGCCCTGGCCATGGAGGCTGAGGACTGACTTTGTTCACAGAAGATTTTGCGATGTGTCTTTTGTTCTCACATATAAAGGACAGGCTCTGGGACTTGTCAGACACTTGTGGAGTGGTAAGTCTAACAGGGAGGATTCCAAAAATTAGACTTCTCTTTGCTCACAGAGCTGTCCCCATCCCCACAGGACGTTGTTCTCTACTGCCTCCAGAAGCACAGTGAGGACGTGAATCACCGTGACAATGCGGGCTACACAGCCCTGCACGAGGCCTGTTCCCGGGGCTGGACTGATATCCTGAACATCCTGTTGCAACATGGGGCTAATGTGAACTGCAGCTCGCAGGACGGCACAAGGCAAGAAAGCTGCTCCTCTGCCAAGTCTCAAAACGCAGTTCAGTCCTTCACTGCGGAGGTCTTACTCCAGCTGGGATACTTGCAGCATAGCTAGCTGCTGGTGTCAAAAAGGCCTTTCCAGGAAGCCTTTGAAAGGATTTCTGTGGGCTGAAGGGAGCCATCTTAGAGCAGGAGCTGATGAGTTCCTCGGTGGTCAGTCCATAGTGGACTAAGGGAAGGCTGAACTTGTCCAGGCTTCATCCTGTCCCATGCCAGGTCCATTCAACCTTCCTGAATATCGTCCTGGTGGGCCACTTGTCTCATGTGGAATTGATGCCTTGGGATCAAAGCAGGAAGCTAATCTTGTAGTGACATTCCCGATTTGGTTTTTGTAATTTGGTCTCTGTGCACTTAAAACAATGAGCTACCTGGGTCTGTGAGGTTAGCCTGCTATGTAAAGGCACTTGCCACCAAGCCTGACAGTCTTGGCTTCCCCATGATGGAAGGAGACAGCTGATGCCTGCAAGTTGTCTTCTGACTTCCACACACATATATTACATATATTCACGCATACGCACACACAATAAATAAACAAGTAAGTGCAATGGCATATTAATGCATACACATACACAGTCTAATAGAAACACTCGCTGTGTTTTGGAGAAGTTACATCCACTCTCCTCAGAGGACCTACTTCAGAAAGGTTCCAAAGGATGCTGCATTCCAAGTAGAAGGACCCAGATCAAAATATATAGGCTCTGCTTGGCTACTACCTGGTATGGAGCCTCCCTACACATCCCTGCCCTTGAGCAGTCATCTGGGTCCTTCTTAAACAACCACCCACATCTGCTTTAGTTTTAACTTCCACCTTGTTCTCTGCTGAAGTAGTAGTAGATCTACACTGTGCTCTAGATACTGTCTAAAGATGCAGGGGAACATAAAGGAGAGATAGATATGGGAGAGAAGAAAAAGAGGTACAGAGAAGATAAAGACATGGCTAGATAGGATAAGAGTTGCAGGCCAGGGGTGATTTCTCTTCCCTGAATCTTACCCACGTTGCGTTGAGGATATCCTGAGGTCACCACAGTATCATCTCCCCTCCCCTCCCCCTAATTTGGTAGGCTGAAGCCTAAAAACTCCCCCCTTGAGTACTGTGTCACTGACTCTGTATGACCTCCACAGGCCAGTTCATGATGCTGTGGTCAATGACAACCTGGAGACCATCTGGCTCTTGCTATCCTATGGAGCTGATCCCACACTGGCTACCTACTCGGGTCAGACAGCCATGAAGCTGGCCAGCAGTGATAACATGAAGCGCTTTCTCAGTGGTAAGGATGGACCAGAATTACAGCCAGAATCATCAGGGTTGGCCTTGGACTCCTCAACCTGTGGTGGTGGTGGTAGTGGTGGGGCTCTTCAATAACTCTGTCCTAGACAGCCCCCATGAGGGGTGTCCACCCTCCTCACATATTCCTTCAGTGTCTTAGGAATCTCTAGTTACTTTTAAAAGCCCCTTGCCGTGAGTGTCCACATAACTACCTCTGTTAGGCCCTAACCTCCTACAGGGACTCATTTCACCACTCGGTGTCTGGAGCAGGCCTCCTGATGGGAGATTGGCTATATACTCTTAGCTGGGAGCAAGATACGTTGACCTGTGCTATGAATGGAATGTCATTGGTGGAGAACAGATAATCCCCATTTTGCTGTTTCTGCAGTCTCTCCTTGATTGTGATTAAAGTGGTACATCTGAGACCCTTTCTGAAGCTTTATTCCTCATGGCCCTTTTCCCATGGTAACTTTGATCTTTCCTGTGCATTCCAATATTCCCCTTCTCTCCATTCTCTCTCTCTTCCCTACCCTCCATCTTCTAGGGAAGTGCCATGTTCAGGCCCATAATCGGGGGCAGAAGCCGCCACCACATTGATACTTTTCTCTCGTGGTAGCACTGTGTGTCTGCAGGTAGGCAGGTTGCTCTGACTGAGTCAGTCAGGTGGGATGCAGGAATGAAAGAGGGATCTATCTAGTTTGAGTATGCTCGGCGTCAGTCCCTTCGGACTTTATCGCAGGAACCTTAAACTTTTTGTGACGACATGACTTAGTCCTTGAGGTTGCCTAAGTGATGGGTGCTGCAGCTATGACCCTCCTCACAGGCTTCAGCTGTGCTAGAACAGTCTGTTCCATCCTCTCACCTAAGCTTTGGCCCCATTAGTCACCAACTGTCCCTGCAAAGGATGCAGTATTCGGTTCCCAGGTAGGAAGTCATGCTTACTTAAGAAAGGTTCACTGAGTAGCTATAAATGAAGGAACTAAGAGAACCTGTACTAAAGGTTCCCACGGAAGGGGAAAGAGATGGGGAATACTACTTTATATTGTAGAGGCTGCAAGGAGGCAAGGGGATAGATGACAGGTTACCTAGGGAGGTTTTGACTTGAGCTCAGCCAACCTCCAGACAGGTCCCATTGAACTTAACTAACCCTTGAAGTATAGGCCTCAGGGCTTCCAGCCTGACTGACCTTGGGTGGGGGACTGGAGGCTTCCTTTTCCAGTTCTTTCCCCCTGGCTCTAGGTCCTTGAGCATCTGTTCCTCATGAGACACAGCCACTTAGGGATTTCTTTTCATTAATCACTTAACTTGGACCAATGATGACTGGTACTCACTTTAGCAGAGCCACCCCAAGGGTACAGCGTCTGTAGCATCCTCCCACATGCTCACTCTGTCTTAGATGCACTTTGGATTCCCAGAATCATGTACAGACTAACATCTAGAGTATGCCAGTATAATGAAGACATTTCATGAAGCTTTGTATTTCATAACTTGTCTAATGGGAGGGGAACTCTCTGGCTAGAAAGTGTCCTCTGCAAAGTAGAAGTCAAGTAAATTAATACCTCTGGCTACTTTGTTGAGTAAATGAACTCTCTTTCGTTCCTGACCTCTTCTCTAAAACTCCAAAGGAGTTTAAATGTTGACACCTTTTTTTGGAGACAGGGTCTATGCAGTCATGGCTGTCTTGGAACTTGCTATGTAGACCAGACTGGCAGAAATCCACCTGCCTCTGCCTCCTGAGTGCTAGGATTAAAGGCATGCACCTCTACACCTGATTGACACGATTTTTATTGGCTAAAATGAGAAATAAGCACTTCTTCCCCTATATTTCTATAAACTCATACCAATCTCCTAGATATTCTTTTTAAAAGACTTTTCGAGCCAGGGTCTCATATGCAGCTCTGATTGGCTTAGAACTTGCTATGTACACCAGGCAAGCCTCAAACTCAAGAGGTATGAAGCTTTCTCTTAAATAACATCTACCTGCCTTTGCCTCCTGAATGCTGGCATTAAAGGTGTGTGCCACCACACTCAGCTAAAAAGATTTTTAAAAAAAAAAAAAAGATTTTTAAAACGTGGGGAGGGGCGGGGGGTACATGCATGAATGAATGCCACAGCCTACATGTGGAGGTGGGTGGACAACTTTCAGGAGCTCAAAGTTAGGTCACCAGGCTCATGCAGCAAGCACTTCTAGCCACTGTGACATCTCACTGACATATAGCTAGCCTTTTGACACCCCCTTTCCTAACTAAAGTACTTGTTCTTGTTGTAGAATCCAGAGGAGACTTTCCTAAACTCCAGTACTCTTGCCTATCTGGGCATCTTCATTCAGGTCTCGTCACATGTTTCTCAATTCATGGGTAGGGAGGTCATGCTCCAAGGGAGTGTTAATAGACTGGAGCAACACTTCTCCATGTAAGGGCAGAGCTCTTTAATTAGGGAAAGTTCTAGCAACCTAGACTCAGACCTTGACATGATCCTCCAGTGGAGGCAGGCATTTGTAGGAGCCAGCAGGCCCCCCAGGCAGAGAGGACTTAGACCCCAAAGCTCTTTTGATGAGGAGTGACTGAACAGGTGATAAATAGCACTTTTTTTAAAATGAAGGTGAGATAGCTGTGTGTGGTGTCACGCACCTGAAGTTGAGCACTGACCAGAGGCAGGAGGCTAAGGTAGGAAGATTGCTGGGGTCGTGAAGCTGTCCTGGGTTACACACTGAGTTCCAGGCCAGCACATACTACTTACGTGAGCAACAAGACCCTGTCTTTAAAAAGGCAATGGAATTCATCTAATATAACAAAGTTCAAGTGACTAATTCAGTGACATTGAGCGCATTCATGATGAGTAATCACTGGGGACTCTGGATGCCTCAAACTGAGCAGTCCCTCTCTTCTCTTTCATCCCTGGATAATGCCTCACTGGTTCCCCAGGAACCACAAGGTAGAGTGATATTCATAAGGTGGCAGAGTAGGGAAGCACTCGTCCGATGTTAGACCTTATATCTAGGTGCATATGAATGGAATTTGGACATGTTTATTTATTTGGGCCTTTTGAGATGGAGGTTGTTTTGGTTTTTTGTTTTCAATTTCCACTCACCTGTCTGGCTGCGACATTTAAAAGTGCTCTCCTTTTCATCTTCGAGCACTTGCTTGGCCAGGTGCTCCAGAGATGAATTGTTTCATCCTCCGCTAGCAGAAGCAGAAAATGAAGCAAACCCATGTAGGATGCTAAGGGCTCCATTTTCTGTGGTCATCTGACTTGTACTTCATGCATAGCTTTTCTCACTCTGCAAGGCTCCTCCAGTTCTGAATGGTTTCCTGGGACTGAACTCTTCTAAGTCCCTAAAGGAACATCACTATTTACAGTGTTCCTTTAAGTAAAGGAGAGGGGACTGACTTGGGTTATAAATGTGGACTTCCTTAAGTTGGGTTGACTCCAGCCAAGGCCCATTTCTCCTGAGCTCATGAAGGGTAGTGTAGCACTACTTCATTTCTTCTTCCGTCCATCCATTTACTGAGCTTCTGTTAGCTTCTGGATGCTAAAGGCCACATAGTAAACCCTTTCTTCCTTGTAGGACTTGGAGCATGGAGCTGTCCAAACCCCTAGGAGATCTTTGAAAGGGTTCCCCCTTGCACCAAATTATAGGCCTGTTACTCATTTACCTTTGACCCTTTAGAAAAATGAACAGCATCCAATCTGGCTGAGAAGGAAAACAGACCCCATTTTTCCTCCTCTGTGGGGAAGAACACAGGTTGGCGGGAACTGTGCAGTTTGGGTTGAGGCATTGAAAAGGTATGGGACTTCTTTGCCTTTCACTGATGAAAGGGTTAGCCTTTGACCGTTCAAGGTCACTGAAGCACAGATTTTTGTTTTTCCTGCCAGAGACCTCTATGGTATGACCCCATATCGAAGACATCTCATTTCTTAGTCTTTCTCCTTTCATGTCCTCAGCTGGTGACTTAGCTGCCCGGGAGGGGTGTGAAGGGATGCTAGGCTCTAGAGAAACTACTGGCTGCCACTCCATACATGGGAACAAGGGACTGTGTACCTAACAGTGAGGGACTGAGGGTGCTTTCAATCAAAAGGCATTGAGGTAAGATTCATGTCACATAAAAGTAATGATCACAAAGTGATCAGTTCAGTGGCTTTTAGATCATTTATAGCATTCTCCAGCCACTCCTTCTGTCTAGTTCTGAAACGTTATCATCATCTTGAATAGAACTTTGGACCAGCTAAGTATTTGTTTTCCATCACCTCTTCTTCTCTGCTCCTAACACTTAGCACTCTGCAGTCTTGTCTCTCTGGATTTACCTATTCCAGACTTCATATACATGGAACCCTACAATCTGAGGCTTCTGTGTCTGGCATAATCATGTAGTGTAGTGGTTTCGTGGTCCATCCATATGCTAGCATATTTCAGTACTACATTCCTTTTTAAAATTCATTCCCCCCTGTGTGTGTGGGCGGGGGGGGGGGGGGTCAGAGGATAAGTTGTGGGAATTGAGTCTGTCCTTTCACCATGTGGGGCCCTGGGTTTGAACTCAGATCATTAGGCTTGAGGTACCTTTCACCCATTGAACCATCTATCTGGCCCAATTTTTTTTTTAATTATCTATTTTATGTGCATTGGTGTTGGGTCCCCTGGAACTGGGATTACAGAGAGTTGTGAGCTGCCATGTAGGTGCTGGGAATTGAACCCAGGTCCTCTGGAAGAGCAGTCAGTGCTCTTATCCCCTGAGCCATCTCTCAAACCCTATATTCTTTTTTATTCCTGACTAATAACATGCCATTGTGTGTGTATATATGCCATTTATATTATCTGCTTATTCACGCATAGCCATTTGTACAGTGTCCATCTTGTAGCTTGTCAGTGGTGCAGCTTTGATCATACATGCACAAATACTTGTTTTCATTACTCTTTGTCAGTTATGTTGCATGTGTACCTAGAAGAGAAATGGTAGGCCCAGGGCACTTTCTCACACAAAAGATAAGATCTTGAAAGTTTGGTGGGGGTGGAAGAAGAATGAAAAAAAAGGAAGACCACTCATTTTGATGGTAGTCACATCTGAGGAGTGTGCATCAAAGCTACACCATCAAGTGACTCCTCCCATGTGTTTGCCACTCACAGGCCTGTTCCAACTTTAGCATCTTTGCTCATGCCGGTTGACTTTGGGCTCTCTCAAAAAGGCAAGTTCACCTGTCCAAGACAAAGCTTTGCAGGCAGTGGAGAGAATTAGAGGAATGTGCCGTGGGCTCTGAAGGCAGTTCCTAGTGAGGAGCCCCAGGAATGTGAACTTGGCCTGTTCTCATGGAATCCTTGTGTGACTTGGGGGTAGGGGGAACAGGGACAGCAGAGTGCTTATGTTTTGGCATGCTGCTTAAGCAAGCACTTTGGTGTCTCACTTTATAGTAATTCTCTCCTTTTCCTTCTTCCTCCTCTCCCTCCTTCCCTAGTCCATAGTGTTTCCCAGGTACCAAGCCCTGGACTTCCAGCACAGGAGATACAATAGTGAACAAAATAGACCTGGTTCCTCCCTTTTTTTTTTTTTTTTTTTTTTTTTTTAGGTTTTTCGAGACAGGGTTTCTCTGTGTAGCTTTGCGCCTTTCCTGGAACTCACTCTGTAGCCCAGGCTGGCCTCGAACTCACAGAGATCCGCCTGGCTCTGCCTCCCGAGTGCTGGGATTAAAGGCGTGTGCCACCACCGCCCGGCAGTTCCTCCCTTTTTAAAAACAAGGGCCTCCTTTCCTTTATTTCCCATGAGACAAAGCACAGGACTAGACTCATTCTAGATAGACATGGACCCAGCAGATGCTTCTGGAAGGAAGTCCTGTCTCGGGTACTACAGTGTATAGAAGAGTGGGGGCTGTCCGCAGGGCTTCAGGTTTGATATGTCGTGTGCAGAGGTCTAATCTACACAACTTAGTTCCCCCACTCTGCTACCTTCCCTGGTGCCTTTCCAATGGGAGCAGCTCTTCATGTCCCAGAAGATGGCTAAGAAAGGCTTGCCTTTGGTAACTTGTATGAACAGATAGTTCTTGGCCCAGAACGGAGGCGGTGTATGGTAGTGGTACTTTTCAGTGGAGGAAACAAGCTGCACTCCTTGGGGAAATAATTGCCAACTTCCTCCTGGGATTGGCTTTGCAGGCGGTCACCCTTACCTCCTTGTGTTCTTTGGACTCTCTTCTTTCCTGTTGCCTAGGTGCTACTTGAGAGCTGGTAGCAGTCACCCACAGCTTAGACAGCCTGCTAATTGTACTATTTGGCACACGGGCAACTTCTGAACTGTGCACTCTCAGACAGCACACATAATTTTGTCAGGAAAGCCAGTAGGGCTGCTTTGTATCTGCGTGGGAATACGAGGTGAACCCGTTCACTAACTGATGCCTAGCTAGGAAACAAGGAGGCTGAGGGTGACCTAGGGTCCATCTTGAGAGCAAGGAAACAAAAGGTAGGTTTTTAAGTTTGGGTTTTTTTCCTGAGATAGGGTTTCTCTGTGTAGCTTTGGTTCCTGTCCTGGATCTTGCTCTGTAGATCAGGCTGGCCTTGAACTCACAGAGATCTGCCTGGCTCTGCCTCCAAGTACTGGGATTAATGGCGTGTACCACTGCCACCCCCGCGGTTTTTAAGTTTTAATTGTGGTAGTACATACATAGAAGATCTTCGACTTTAACCACTTTAGACAATCGAGTGATGGGATGTTGTCAATTCACAGTATCGTGTTACTATCACCATATCTGGTTTCAGAACATTTTTTTATCATCACAGGGAAACCCCAGCTCTATTCTCAGTACTGCCCTCCCCCAACACTGACATACTCAATCTGCCTTCTGTCCTTTTTTTGTTTTGTTTTGTTGTTCAAAACAGGGTTTCTCTGTATAACAGGTCTGGTTGCCTTGGAACTTACTCTGTAGACCAGGCTGGCCTTGAACTCAGAGATCTCCCTGCCTCTGCCTCTCAAGCACTAGGATTAAAGAAAGGCATGTGCCACCACTTCTTGACATTAAAAATGGGAAGGTTTACCATGGTTTTTTGTTTGTCTGTTTTTAAATTTTTTTTCTGCTTTCTGTCTTACTAGCCTTGCCTAGTCTGGACATTTTCTTGAGATGGAATTATATAATATGTGGTCTTTGTAACTAATTCTTACACTTAGCATCATGTTTTCAAGATTTGTCCATGTGGCATTGGTACTCTGTCCTTTTATGTGGCCTTTTGTGTCTGGCTTCTTTTAGTTACCTATGTGGCCTTTTGTGTCTGGCTTCTTTTAGTTACCATCTATGTTCCTTTTTATGGTTTAGTAATATTCTTATTTATCCATTCATTGGGCATTTGGGCTGTTTCCAGCTTTTGACCATCGTGAATAGAGCCATGTCCATTCATGAGCATAAAAATTGTGTTTGTACACCTGTCTTCAGTTTTTTTTTTCATGTGTAAGTATTTGTGTCACCCTATGTGGGCCACATCACGTATGTAGAAGTCAGTGGACAAATTATGGGGTGTTGGTGCTCTCCTTGCACCTCGGAAAGCAGAATCTGGTTTTGTTGCTCTCTACTCCAGCCTGGCTCATCTGTGAGCGTTCGGTTGATTCTCCTGTCTCCACTTTGGGCCTTGTCATTGGAGTTCTGGGACTATAAATGCTTCCTGCCACAGCCAGTTTTTTCCATGCCTTCCAGTGAGCAAACTCATGTCACCAGGCTGGTGCAGCAGGCACTATTACCTGCGGGGCCATTCTCTAGCACCTTGTCTTGAGCTCTTTGGGGTAGAAGCAAAAGGGGTTTGCTTTGGTTTTGTTGAGACAGGGTTTCTTGTAGGTGGCCCAGGCTAACCTCAAGCTTGATTCTCTTGCCTCAGCCTTCTGAGTAGTAGGGATTACATATGTGTGTGCTGCCATGCCTAGCTTTACTTTTATGTGTGTTTTTTTTTGAGCTGTAAATTAAACTTAGAATCTTTCACATGCTAAGCATACATTCTACCACTGAGCTCCACCCATAGCTGCTTACCTTACTTTAAAGAAGATAGATCACGATTGAGCACATTAATAGGTGTAGGATTCTGCTTGTAGAGGAATGTCCTGTGCCTTTTGAAGCTGAGGTCCCCAAGCTACATGCCTTCGGGCTAATGTGTAAAAAAGAGAAGAGGCCCAGTGGGGACTGGAGACTGGACATGTCACAGCTTCTTCCAGCCACCTGTTGACATACAGGAATGCAGAGGCAATATTGCCAGAGCTTTGGATTTTTATCTATTTTCTTAAGTAAAAAGTTGGGAAGCCCAGCTGGAGGCTGGAGATGGCTCAGAGGTTAGGAGCACTGGCTGCTCTTTCAGAGGTCCTGAGTTTGATTCCCAGCAACCACCTGTAGTGAGATCTGGTGCCCTCTTCTGGCATGTAGGCGGAACATTGTGTACATAATAAATAAATAAATTAAAAAAAAGAAAGTAAAAAGTTGGAAATCTAATTTTTAAGTGAAATCTCCCAGTTTTAAAATACTGGAGGCTGTTTTTTTTTTTTCTTAAAAACTAGGCCATATATCATAGGTGGGCTACATGGGGCTTCTGCCTGCCTGTTTGCAATCTGTTGTGAGCAGGAAGTGGAAGGAAGTGGACTTCTTTCCTGTCACCCCTGGTCCCTCTTGTGGCCTTCCCCCCCCCTTCCCCTCTCCCCAATCCCACAGGGATAATCCTCCAGATTTCCTCCTTGTCTCACACCTTCTCTTCCTTCCTCAGATCACCTCTCGGATCTTCAGGGCAGGGCAGAGGGCGATCCTCGAGCATCCTGGGATTTTTACAGCAGTTCTGTGTTGGGTAAGCTCTAAGTGGGAAGAATCACGGGGGACTGGGTATGGGTCACCAGTACTTCTTGAGTAGGAGTCCCACTGTGGAGGCAACTCTTCCTCCCCTGGTAGTAGCTTATAGGCCCTTTTAGCCCTTCCCCCTCAGACTCCAGTCACTAATATGAAGCCTGAGATGCCACAAGGATTTGCATAAAATCATCCTCCCTTGCCTTCTACCACTCCCCACCCTGGGTGCTGTGTAAATCCTGGTGTTAACCTCTTTGGATCGTGCTCACACTGTAGAAAGTGTCGAGCCCTCATGTGGCGACTTTTATTCCCTCTCACTATGCCCCTGTGATGGCAGCCCTTGTTTTTGTTTTATTTTCTTCTCTGGGTTTGGTTTTGTTTTCTTTTGCTCTGTTTTTGAGATAGGGTGTTACCATGTAACTCTGGCTGACCTGGAACTCAGAGATCCTTCTGCCTCTGCCTTCCAAGAACAGGGATGAACGAGGAGAGCAGAGATTAAAGGTGTGGGCCACCACACAGGGCTCAGCCCTTGTTTTTGAGATTGCTGGTGTCCTGAGCCCTTAACCCTCTGGCCCAAACACCACGAAGCAGGAAGATCAGCACACCTTTGTCTGTGATCATCCAGCATTTGTCTAATATGAGCCAGGGGCTGAAGATTAAGAGCAGGTTGGGCTGAAATGCTGTGTGCCACACCCAAATGATTGGTTGGGCAAAGGAACCTTCTGAGTCCCAGTTCTTGAGGATCAGGCAGTGAGATGGCTTAGGGAGGCTATAGCCAGAGGATAGGTGCTTTGCTTTACTGTAGTCCTTGACTAGTATCTTCTGTCTTCCATCTGGAAGAGCTGAGCTGTCATCTTTTCAGAGTACTTTGCTTTTTCTAATCAGAGGGTGGAGAAGGATAATGGACTTCTGGCCACAACACATTTCCTTCCAAGAGCAGAACTTTCATGTACCCTCTCAAGGATGTGGGCCCAGAGTCCATCCAGCCAGGACTTGTGGCCTTGCATTTATCTCCTAAGCAGCCTCTTTGTATCCCTTTTTCTGGCTGGAGCTTTTTCCTCCCTTCAGTTTTATGCTTATAGCTGATCCCCTGGCTACTCACTTTACAGAGAAAAAGGACGGGTTTGCCTGTGACCTCCTCCATAATCCTCCTGGGAGTGCCGAGCAAGGAGACGATTCAGAACAGGATGACTTCATGTTTGAACTCTCAGACAAGCCTCTTCTCCCTTGTTACAACCTCCAAGTGTCAGTGTCCCGTGGGTAAGTGTCTGAGACGTCTACAGGGATTGTGTCACGGTGTCCTGGCAACCCCTGGCCCACCTCCCAGGGAAGGAGGAGCTCTATGAAGGAGGCAAATGCAGCCTGGGGAATGAGTGCTGGAGCAGAGGAAAGATGCCCTGCTCCTCCAGACCAGATGGAGTGAAATTTACATCCAAACTCAGGGTTCACAGATCTCTAGAGCTGCTACACCTTGGTTATTAACTCGCATTTCCAGGCCCCCAAATCTGAATAATTTTTTGCACTGTTACTATGTGTAGGCGATAATCTGGGAAATATTTGGAATGATGAACTATTAGAATCTCTGGAACATTTTTTGTGGTTTCTGGGGATAGCTAGACAGAATATTTGCAACTGAGATTCTTGGAAAAGCCAAGGCATATGGTTGCCATAGCTCTGGATCCACTAGGATCCTTAAGCAATCCACAGCACAGGCTCTCATAGCCTTAAAACCAGCAAGGTGATCAGCACTGCTGGTTCAGGTGACTTGTGCCTAGTATAGAGGAGCCCCATCCTTTGGAGACTAGAGTATAACCTGACACCTGGTATTAGACTGAGCCCAGCTGAGTCTTTGTTGATTCAGAATTGACTGAATTCTGACTCAAGGAGTTTGTCAGCCTTCAGGACTATGGCTTTTGATACGTTCTCCAGTGCATCAGCATGTGGAAATGCTAGGTAGGTGAACAAGAATACTGGCTCAGGACACTGGAGAGATGGCTCAGCCGTTCGGAGAACTTAGGGCCCAGATTTGAATCCCAGCGCCCACATGACAGCTCACAACGATCTATAACTCCACTTCCAAGGGATCCAATGCCCACTTCTGGCCTCCACAGACCAGTCACATATGTGGTGCACATGCATGCATGCAGGAAAACCCTCATGATATAAAGTAAATACATTTTTAAAATGCAGGATCAGTTGCCCTTATTCTTAGCCTCCTTGTTCTTCTGGGCAGCAGCTGATCCCAGGGTAGGGGCTGGGCCTCTGGGATATAGTGTTGCACAGTTAATTAATTCCTTCAAAGTATTCAGCACCTCCTTCTCTGAAACAGGATCTTAGGCCACAGGCAGTAAAAGGACCAGAGTAGTTTGCTTTAGGTACAGACCGAACATGGACAACCAAGGGCCACATGCCACCCCATAAGCCAGGGGGTATGGGTGATTTGCCTGCAGAGGCCAGAAGAGGGCATTGGATTTCCTAGAATTGGAGTTAGAGACAGTTGTGAACTGAGTCACATGTGTGCTGGGAATTGAACCCAGGTCCCCTGGAAGAGCAAATAGTGTTCTTAACCATTGAACCATCTCTCTGGCCCTTTTATCTTCATTCTTTGAAAAAGATTGTTCAAGTATATGGTATTGATTGTCACTTTCTCTTCTTAGCCTAGAACACTCCATTCCCTAATTTTATAATGTGACAGACAGACTTTGCTATCATGTGGAAGAAATGCTGAATTTTAGGGGAGAGGAGTATGAGTCTAAATAGGTGAGGGTGGGTTTTTTTTGTTTTGTTTTGCTTTGTTTTTGATACAGGGTCTCTATGTAGCCCTGGCTAGCCTAGAATTCACTAGGTAGCCCAGGCTGACCTCAATCTACCTGCCTCTGTCTCCCAAGTGCTAGAATTAAAGACTTGAGCCACCATGCCCAGCTAGATAGGTGTTTTAAATACTGTATAGAGTGATTGATTTCATAACCATGTTTTATGCACTGGATCAAACCTTGAGATCCACAGCACAGACAATTCTAGCCTTTGAAAAACTCAGCCGAGTGTAGTAGACAGATAAGTATGCAATTAACTTTAATAAAAGACTAAATGTTCTAAGCAGGCTTATTATTGTAAAAAGAATGTCGAGTGAAAAATAAAAAGTCCAGTCCATCTTGATCTCTATTCCTAGGCACCAGAGAAGAGGACAGTTTATGTTGATTTTGTAGCCTGTTGGAAATACCATACTAGGGCTGAGAACCAAGTGTCATGAGGCCATAGAAAGAAGATGGACTGAACACGAAGTTTCTTTGAGGTTTTGTAGGTTTGAAATGGCATCTGAGCTGGGCTAAAGAAGGACAGGTATAGGGACGGCATGGGCAAAGGCATTGCAACAGAAAGCGCAAGCCCGACATGATGCCAGCGCACGCCTTTAATTCCAGTGCTCAGGAGGTAGAGGCAGGCCGATCTCTATGAGTTTGAGGCCAGCCTGGGCTACAGAGCAATTCACAGGTGAGCTAAGGTTATATAACGAAGTCCTCTATCTCTCAGAAAAGGGGAGCTGGAGAGATGGCTCAGAAGAGGTTAAGAGCTCTGGCCTCTAGGACCTGTGTTCAACTCCTGGCACCTACATGGTAGCTCACGGTTGTCTGTATGTAACTCCAGTTACAGGAGATCTCAAACCCTCTTCTGCAGGCACCAGGTGTGTACATAAAGCACAGACATATATCAGACAAAACATCTATAAACAACATTTTTAAAAATTACCTGGTAGGACAGGGGTGCAACGTGGTGAGTGTACATGGGGGAGTTGGAGATTGAGTTGAAGAGGTTGAACTGGGGTCATCTTTGGACAGTCTGTCTTAATATCATGCTAAAGAATAAGAACTTGCTGGATGACCTGGAACTAACTTTGTAGACCAAGCTGGACTCAGATTCACACAGATTTTCCTGCCTCTGCTTCCCAAAGGCTGAGATTAAAGGCATGTGCCACCTATCTGACTATTATTTTATTTTTAATTATGTGTGTTATGTGTGAAGTTGCATGTGGGTATGTGCACATGAGCGTAGGTACCCAAGAAGGCCAGAGATGTCAGATCTCCTGGAGTTGCAGTTATGAACCACCCGATGTGGGTGCTGGCAATTGAATTTGAGTCCTCTAGAAGATATTCAGGTATACTCTCAACCACTGAGACCCAAGTTGGTATTTTTTTGCTGGAAGCACGGAAGAGCCATTGAAGGCTATTCAGGGAGAGAATGGAGGACAGATTTTCATTTTTGAAAACAGGATCCGAGGGCCTCTGAGAAGCCTTTACCTATGTTCTTGGGTATGTCTTACTTTCTGCTCAGCACCTTTTTTTTTTTTTTTTAACCTTCGTACTTAAGCCTGTATTAAAATAGCTTTAGTAGTCCCCTCCCCCTTCAAGAGAAAGGATTCAACAGGGACCGAGGGAGCAAGTGTAAGGCTGGTGCAGTGTAGCACAGCCCGCAAGTGGCAAAGGCTGGGGCTGAGAGAGTAGAGTGGCTATGAGGAAGAACTGTAACCTGGGACCACTAACTCGAGGAGAATGGAAGTCCATGGAAGTGCTTGGCTGGTGACCGGCCTCCACAGCACCCTCCCAGCTGTGCTGAGGCTGCCGCCCAGTCAGATGTGCTCCACAAGGGCAGACTGGCTGTAATGGGAGCCCTGGGCCTGCAGAAACACTGGTGCTGCTGCTGCTGCACTGGAGGAAAAAAGTTGTCTAATGCATTCCAGAGCCAAGGAGAAATGCCTTTTGGATTACCCGCAGTTGAGGCCTTTCTCCACAGCTCCACCTCCACGAGGGAAGGTCTAGGAGGACAAGTGAGGAAGAGTGATGTCAGGAGAGAGAAGCTAGGCAGGGTTGCCTGGAGTCGGGGTCAGGAACAAGTGGTCCCAGCAGATAGGAAAGGCCAGGCCATGGGGGAACAGGCTAAGGCCCCAGGGAAAGCAAGCCCTGAGAGAGCTGTTTCCCCAGGCTTGCCCTTTATGGAAGAGCTAGCCCATGGGGTGAGTGAGTACTCAAGGATGTTCAGCTAGAAGCTGGGGCAGGTATTGTGTTGTCCCAGCCTCATCCCAGAAACCTGTGCTTTCCTGGGAGGTAGCAGCGAGTCTCAGAAGTATGGGAGTGGGGGTCACTTGGTCCCCTGGCGTTCTGTGGTGCTTCTGGGGCCCCCACCCTTCCTCCTGAGCCTGCTTCCCTAAACTCCACCTTTATCTCTCCAGACCCTGCAACTGGTTCCTCTTCACCGATGTCCTGAAGAGGCTGAAGCTTTCCTCAAGAATCTTTCAGGCCCGGTTCCCGCACCTTGAAATCACCACCCTGCCCAAGGCCGAGTTCTACCGGCAGGTGGCCTCAAGTCAGCTGCTGACCCCTGCTGAGAGGCCTGGGAGCTTGGAGGACAGATCTCCCCCAGGTTCTTCTGAGACTGTGGAGCTGGTGCAGTATGAGCCAGAGCTGCTGCGGCTCCTAGGGTCTGAGGTGGAATATCAGTCTTGGAGCAGTTGACGGAAACAGCCCCTCCCCCGTTCTTCTTTCTTCTCCTCCGAGTTCACCCTTCCCCCACCGCCTATGTCTCCCCCACCAAGCACCAGACTGCAGAATGAGGCAATAATACGGACCAACAAGAAGCCGCCTTATCAATGCCAGCATTAGTGACTGGATTTTTGTTTCGTTTTGTTTTTTGGGTTACAGTTAGTTCTCATCTCCCTGTTGTTGTGGTTGGTGATGGGGGTGGAAAGTTGAACTCCACTTCTGAAGACAAGAGGTCTGGAGATGGTGGAAGGTGGCACCAGGGTCCCTTGGACTGGCTTCTATGCTTATGACCAAGACCAAACATGGACCTGGGTGGCTGTGGCCTGTCCTAAGGAGAAATGAGAAGAGCCCAAATCTCTCGAGTGCCCCTCCCTATCTCCCTGTTCTCTTCTGTCTTCCATAGTATTTATTTTATTAGTATTTAATTTGTATTGTTTCATTGGTTTCTGATAAGTCTGTATCACTGTGACGATTTGAGACAACTTGTTGTATTGAGGGACTTTCTTTACCTCCTTTCCTTTTTCTTTCTGGATAAGCTTTGGGGATGCTCCCTCCCTCTAAGAAAATTATTCCCAGGTAGTCTTTCCCCAGTTGGGGAGGGAGCAGGGTGAGGAAGGCTAGGGGGACATCATCATATGACTAAACATCCTGGCTGCTGCTGGCCCAGAGCTGGGGGGCTGGGGGCAAATCCCTGGCCTTTGGTGCTCCCCCACCCCCTGCCAGTTTTGCCCTACCCTGCCCTTTGTAGCAGCTCTGCCATCTTGAGATTAGTGTGTACTGAGGAGAGGGTTCCTGAGTTACTCTAATAAAGGCAGGTTGAGAATGGGCCCCAGGGGTGAGGGTGCTTCCCTCACACTGCTCTGCTCAGAGTGCACAGGGTGAAGTTATCCTGGCATCTTTTGCCCTGTACCCATCCCCTCCTTGCCTCACCCTACCTACCCTGGGCTCCCTCCCCATCTTGAGATACTGAGCCTTTTCACCTCCCAGCCTTTGCCCTGCCATCCCTACCACAGAAGTCCGGCCCCCTTTCCCCGGCTCTCCGACTCTCCTCCTTTGGAGTCCGCAAAGGGCCCTGGGACTGACTAGGCAAGGGCAGAGGCTAGTCTCTAGTCCGGCTCCACACCCACTTGGGGACTTGGAGCTGAGTGAGTGGCTCATGGGCCTCAGAAGCCTAAGTGTTAGATCTGTTATAGGAGAGTGGGGGGAGGAGGAGCTTGGGTTGTTTCCATGGCCCCACCCCTCCATACCATCGTCTTTCCCACTCTTCTTATTTTTCTACCGATTGCTATTTTTCCGAACAATCCTTGTAGAGAGTATGTACCATCGAAAGGCAGGAGGGCCTTGCTGTGGTTGGCTCTGGATGGAGATGGTACAGTTTTATTGTACAGGTGCTAAACAACAACAAAAGAAGAAAATGGAAAAAAAAGACAAAAAAGAAAAAAAAAAGCCAGTTTGGGGATGGGACAATCTGTTCTCTGGAGGCTCCTGACCCATTTAGGAGCATTGTTTCTTTTAACTGTGTGTGATTTTGTTCCCATGGGGATTTTCTGGGCCCCCTTCTGTAGGACAGCTCCACCATCCTGCCCAATTGGTTTTGAACAATTGTTTTCCCTTTTTAACAACAACAAAGTTTTATATATATATATATATGTGTGTGTGTGTGTGTGTGTATATATATATATACGTACACACACACACACACATATATATATATATAAAGTTGAGGGGGTTTGGACTTCAAGTTTCTTTGTTGTGTTGGGATTTACGATACTGTGTGGTTTATTTTGTTTTCTGTTGGCCTTTACTTTGTTTTGCATTTGGGTGTGTACTCTGGCTGCCCTTTATGTTTCGTTTTCAGCCACTGGCTGAGGAGTCAAAAACACTTGCATACTGAAAAACCTGTGTCAGGGCCTTTGTCTCCTGTCTTCACACTCCTCCTCTTGGTGGTTTTTGGGGAGATACGTGGTCCCTACGGATACAGTGGGTGAAGGCAAGGCAAGACAGAGCGTTGGGTCATTAGGTCGGGGTGGGAATCTGGAAAGGAAGGATGGGCATGTCCCAGGGCCCCTGCCCACCTGAGTGTAAAATGGTCAACTTGGGGTTGCCTTCACCTGATGATGTGGGAAGAGCATTCCTTGTTTGCAACTGGAGTAACAGGAATAGGGGAGAGGCCCCCTATGGGTGCTGGGTGGTGGTGCGGTCCTCCCTAATCCAGTCGGAAATTATCTGCCCGCTGATTCCTCTTCATGCTGGGACTATCCACCTGGCTACACTGTAATTCCCCAGCCTGCCCTTACCCTTGCTAGCCTTCACTGCTGTACCAGTGCCTTACCTGCCCACATGAGCAGTGCTGGCTCTCCATGATTCTAGTTTCCAATGACCTAGCTATAAATGCAAGACACCTGTCCCTGGTTTTACAATTACTCCCACTTTTCGATAAACAGAAGTTAAAACTGTCTGCAGGCCCCAGAATGTGTCTTTGAGTGAGAGATTTTCTGAAGGTCTGGATCCTACAAACTTTTAAGCTCTGTGTCTTTGGGGCCTCTCACTGTAGCTTGAGTGGGCAGGCCATAGGAATGATGTGTCTGGCTTCTTGGAGTCCAGTCATTGTCCAGGAGTAAACTTAAGTGCTCTCCTTACCCACACCTCAGAAACTTGCTTCTGCTTGAGTCTGCCCACATACAGGAGCACAACACTAATCTGCCTCACTGCTGTTCCCCTCCCCACTTTCTGATCACAGGTCATCCCAAACACCCCATAGTGTTTCCAATTTCAGGTCCATCCTCTATTTGAAACTTGCAATAAAAAGGCAAGCATACATGGTGGCACATGCCCATAATCCCAGCTTGAGGGAGTGGGGCATTGAGGCAGATGGATTGCTGTGAATTCTAGGTCAAGCCAGGGAGATATGGCAAGACCCTGTCCCAAAACAACAAGCAAGGTGTGGTAATGCATGCCTGTAATCCCACTTCTCTGAAAGACAGAGGCAGGAGGATTTGAGGTCAGCTTGGGCTACACAGATGAGACCTTGTCTCAACAAAAAGGAACTTGCAGTTCAGAAGTCAGGCATGTCAGGAGGTTACAGAAGCCATGTATGTTGTGGTTTGACAGTATTCAGATAGGCCCAAAATGCTGTGGGAGCTCAAAGGGCTGGACAAGGGCACCTGGATGATTGGAACACATGGCCTGGGAGAGATGACGAGTGGTGTATACTTAGTATAAATAGTTGTCAGGGGGTGATGTTTGGATTGAGGGCACAATCTGAGCAAAGGCTTGGAGAGGAGAATTTTTAAAAGAGTCAACAGCAGTTTCATATTTTCATGCTTAGGGGTTTTTTTTACCCACACATTAACTGGAGACCATTGTCAGGTTATGAGAATCAAGGCTGGAAGCATGGACTGATACTAAAGCTAGTGGCCTCTTAAATCTGGGGTTAGACAGTTGTGAGCTGCCATGTGGGTACTGGGAATTAAACCGGTGTCCTCTGGAAGAGCAGCCAGTGCTCTTAACTGTTGGGCCATCTCTCCAGCCCCAGCTGGTGGCCTCTTAATTAAAAGTTCTTTGAGTGCTTTCCTGTGTGGAATAGGGAAGAGCTAATACCGCTCACTACTGTGCACCTTGCTTGAGAGCCTAATCTTTCCAGTGGGCGCTCAGTTTACCAAACTCTGGATAGATGAGACTTTATAAAGAACAAAATAAGAGTTTTGCTGAAGTCAGTTCCCCCTGTGCCAATGTCAGTTAGTATTGATCTTGCCAGGATGGTCCTCTTCTGGTGTTGAAAGCATCCCTATCAGCTTCTGGATTTTCATGCCTGGTCCCTAGATGATAGAGGTGATGGAGAGAGGTGAACTGGGCAGTACGTTGCCGCTTTCATAATCTGGTCTAATAAGGAAGTCTGTTAGGCATTTTATTGTGTCGGGTCTTGACGTGTTTTCAAAGAGTCAGGTATGCCCAAGGCATCCTGGACCACTATAAGGGAGTCACCAAATGTTCAGGCATGCTGGATTCAGGAGGGCAGGCCTGGTTCTATGTTTCCCCCTTAGAGGGATAGTTTCCACTATTAGGGGGGCCCCCGACCACTGGATACATGATCCTCCCAGGCTCAGGGCCCCTCCTCCCGGAGCTTGGGTTCAAGCTGCAGACACATGCCTCGATCATTCTCCCATTTCAAGAGAGAAAGTGGTGGTTCATGAAAGTGTCGCTAGACAGGCCAAGGAGAGAGGAGCATTAGATCTAGGGCCTGTCGAGGGATTGGTGATGGCCCGGAGCTTGCTTTTGCTGTTCTAGGGAGAGTGCAGGGAGCCAAGGAGGCCAGCAGACTCTTGCTCACCTGCGAGAACGTGAGGCTGGGGGCGGGGCCAGGGAGCGGTTGGCCAATGAGGAGGAGACATTTCGTGGACAGCTGAACTCTCCTGGGAAGGAAAGAGGACCGAGGGTAAAGTTCGAAGCTCCAGAGCTAGGGTGGTTGTCGGCGGGAACCAAAACCTCCCAGGGAGTCAGAGAAACATGGTCAAGGGACAGGAAGACGCCCGCTTAGCCCGATCCTCTGGGAGCGGTGGGCCACGCCCTGGCCGCCCCTCCCTCCCCGGGCTCCGCCTGGCTGGCCCACCACCGCCGGCTCCACAGCGCCACCTGCTGGATATTGGCTTCTATATCCGGCGCACGAGGCACAGGCGAGAGGAGGCAGCTGAGGCTGGGAGCCCAAAGTTGGCTCACCCTGGGACCAGAGACTCCAAAGCCCTAGGCAACTGCCTTTCCGAGTACAGTCAGCAAGCTTGTGACCATCAGAAAAACTTGTTTGTCCCCGCCCGAGGAGGGGGTGGGGGAGTGACATTTCTACCTCAGTTCCACCCAGGGATGAGGAAATAGTGCTGATGCAGTCGCTGGAAGGGAGACAGTGGCAGTTGTTTGGGAGTCACCTGTCAGCAAAGCATATTCGAAAGCAACTCTGAGCTCCTGGTGAACCCAACGGTAAATAAACATGTGGGTAAAGGGAGTAGCTGCCTGAAATGTTGTGTGATGGGTCAAAATCCTGTAGTAGGGGCCGCGGATGTAGCTCAGTTGGTAGAGTGTTTGTCCAGCATACAGGAAGCTCTGGGTTCCATCTTCAGCACCAAATAAACGGTTTTGGCAACGAATGTATGTAATCTCAGAACGGGGTCACATAGTCAGGGTGGGCTCCATGAGACCCCCCCCCCTTCCCCCAATGACATCAAAACAAAACATTGTGGTAGGATTGGCCTACCTGTCCTCTTCCTGCTGTCATGCAGAAGGTTGCACAATTGGAATCTGGACTCATTCATCTTTTCAATAAACATTTATTGAGCACCTACTGTGTGTCAGGCACTGTGGCTAGGTGCTGGGGATACATCATTGACTAGCACACAGCCCCTGTCCTGGAGGAGCTCACAGTCTATTGGAGGGGAAACGTACATAAACACAATTAAGGAACTACATACAATGTGCTACAATAAGAGGTATATACAAAGTGCTGTGGGAGCCAGGGGGAGGGAAACACAGCCGCTGGGAGGTGCAGATCTTCACTTGACTCCTGACTCCATTAGGCCATCACAAAAGCCGGGCTATTTCTGCCACCTGACTCTGCTTAAAGTAAATCTTTCTCCTGAGGTTCTCCTCTAGTCTCTTCCAGAACTCTTGTCAGCAAGGGCTAGTTACCTGGGTAGCTAGTTTAACACTTTGTGTAGAAAAGAAACCAGACAGGGAGGTGTCTTTAGGATCAGAGGATGTTCAAAGTAATATAAATCTTGGGTGTTAAGATAGGGGACGGGGTGTACCGTGGCGGGCACTGAGCCAGGAATAGCAGGCCCAGGGCAGTGAAGCACCCGGGGTAACTGTCTGAGGAGAGGGGAGGACAGGAGTCACCTACCTCTAGGTCCCCATCTCTCATCAGATCAATCAGTAACTAGTCATTGATGCTCATCTGCTATGTAGTCTGCCCCATTTTGTGGTGACACAGTGATGCCTATCCCTCATGAGATCACACACACACACACACACACACACACACACACACACACACACACACGACTAAATAGGTCCGGATCTAAACTTAAGGTCTATGTAACAGTTTGTGATTATGATAGAGATGTCACAGGCTGTTTATAATCGCCTGCCCATCAAGTGGCAGTTACAAGTTTAAGAATTAAACTTAGCCGGGCGGTGGTGGCGCACGCCTTTAATCCCAGCACTCGGGAGGCAGAGCCAGGCGGATCTCTGTGAGTTCAAGGCCAGCCTGGACTACCAAGTGAGTTCCAGGAAAGGCGCAAAGCTACACAGAGAAAAACCCTGTCTCGAAAAAACCAAAAAAAAAAAAAAAAAAGAATTAAACTTAAGAACTGGCTGCTTCTACCGAATTCAGTCTTGAGACACAATTTTTAGTTGTCAGTGAGGAGAGAAGACATTTTGGTTGAACAGAACCCAGGAAAGAAAACGATAGGTGGGAATTTATGGCAGTAATAAATTCAAAGACTAGGGAATCCTTTTGGAGCAGTACCTTGGAGTGGGGTGGGGAATATTACACAGGACCACCAGCTTTGAGCTTTGTTTCCTGGTGAGGCTGACACCAAATTTCAGATCTTTCTAGAATTACTGCCCATAGCTCTCCAAATGCTCCCCAATTCCTGCAGGACCCCTTGGGCCATGTCATGACTAAGAAACTAAAGGGTTAATGCTAGGCCTCTAGAAAAGCCTGGAGGGTATTTGAAATCTTGGCCCTACCTGCGGGCCAGGACTCACTGAAGGCCTTTTAGCAGAAAAGGACAGAATAAGTGGCCTGCGAGATGAGAAGTACTGAGAAGTCACACTGGACAGGGTGCTGAGCAGCATGAGCTAGGCTGCATGCTCTGGGAATGAAGGCAGGCTGGATGTCAGGAGATAAGGAGAGGGACAGGGTCACGTGCAGGTAGCCACCAGACATCTCAGAGATCTCAAGTCTAGGTCAGGAAGCAGCTCACTAGAGCTGTGAGCCACGGACTTAGAAAAGTAGGCTCTGGATTGCAAACTCATTTCAAAGGCCTGGCCCATGACAATGGTGGGATCCTTGGAGAACACCCACATATAAAGAGATGATGAGGAGCCCACACAGAAACAAAGTACAATAGGTGGACGCACGGCAAGTGTGGGCTAACAAGGACTGAGAACCATGGAGAAGATGATTGTACTATAAAAAGTTTTGATGGCCCTAAGATAATTTCCTTAAAGTTAGGAAGTATATACAGATATTACATTCCAGGTTGCTGCAGGACCACCCCAACTCACACTGTGCCTTTGTGCTCATTAAAACTGGCTGAGCTGGGGGTGTAGCACAATTGATAAGCATGCTTGTCTAGCCTGCACAAAGCCCTGGGTTTGATCTACAGAAGCACAAAAACTGGGCATGGTGCTACACACCTGCAATTCTAGCATCACAAGGTGGAAGCAAGAGAACCAGAATTTCAAGGTCATCTTCACCTACATAGCAAGTTCGAAGCCAACAACGACTATATGAGATACTGTCTCAAAAAACTAAAACCCAAATACAACGACAGCAACAATAACAGCAACAACAATGCTGAACTTTTCTCAAGATGCTTATTTCCAACAATCAAGAGATTGCCATCATAAGCTGACTTTATTAGCACAGACACTTCAGTGCCAATTGCTGGGAATGTAGCAAATGCACCTGCATAACCACAGATGGTTCCTTCCCCCAGGGAAGGAGACAGAACAGTAGAGGAGAATGATGACCAGCCAGGGAGGTAGTTAGGTCAAGTGGGTGCTTTGGCACAGAGGACATAGCAAAGGTCCTGGAGCACTGGTTCACATTAACCAAATTCACCAGAGGCTAGAGTTGCTTCTGGGCCCGACATCTCTAAGCATTGCCCCTAAACCTGGTAGGAGAGAGGCAAGCAGATTCAAGGAAGGGAGACGGAGGCCCTCAGCTGAGAGGCTGACTTAAGAGAGATTAGGAGAACCCTTTGCAGATACAGAATAGAAGCAAAGAGTCGAGTAGTGCGGATGGGAGCTATGGGAACTTAGGTGTGCTAGCTCTGTCTTCTTGGTGAAGGAAGAACTGGGTTAGGTGGGACAGCCGGGGATGAAAAGCAACGGTCCACCTGAAGTCTTTCACAGCCACTGTGAGAGGGAGAGGGTGGGGTAGAGAGCAGAACTGTGTGGCTGGAGATGGAGTGCCACCCCACTAGCCTCAGCAACTCGTGCCAGGTGGAACATCTCAGGGCAAACGGAATGAGGAGGGAACCTGAGATAGGGAATGAAGAGCACTGTGCCAAGCAAAGCTATTGTCAAGCACAAGGCCGACCTTCCACAAGCAGCCAAGAGCCCTGGCCACAAGCATTCAGTCCATTCAGGCCTGGCTGGGGGTTTATCATTGGGGCTAACTATAGGGAAGTACTTTGCTCCACAACCTTCAGGGAAGTACTCCAGGTTCCAGCCTGATGGCAATGTGACTATGGCAAGCAATTGCTCCCACGGCTAGGTGTGCTCCTTTCCCTCCGCTATGCTGTTAACACACGTGACCTCTTGTCCTTAGCAATGTCCTCTGGCATGTGCACCCAGTGAAGCTCTCCTACCTAGACCTGTTCCATCTCTGTGACATCTCTCTAGACTGGGGGCATCCAACTGCCACTTTCTAGTCTCAGAATGGCATTGTGGCTAGCAGGGGTGTGTGTGTGGGAGAGAGAGAGAGAGAGAGAGAGAGAGAGAGAGAGAGAGAGAGAGAGAGAGAGAGAGAGAGAGAGAGCTTTCTCTTAAAACTGCCTCATGTCTGTGGCTGACCTAGGAATGGACGGACACATGCACACATACAAGCACACGCACACACACTTACTTGAAGAAAAGACCTGACATCGACATCCCATCCTCCTCAAAGAAATGAAGACACAGATCCACAAGTGCACACAAATGCGTACGAAGATATTCACATATGGGATGGTAAGTTCCCTGCGTAGGGAATAGAGATAACGAAGTATGACCAGGCTTAACTCTTCCCATGCGGCCTCTGACCAGCTCTGGCCACACGCTGTTTCCTGGCTTGGGGCTTTCCCTCCATCACCAAGTTAGCCCATTATCCTTCCAAGAGTATATCTATTCCCTAGTGCTCTTGAAGGCCATGGTCTGATGCCAGGGATGCTTGAGCTGGGCATAGTTTGATCATGGCGATGTCAAAACAGGCCTGGGGACTTGGTATCAAATGTATTCCACCCCATTAGACGTAAGGGCAGGTATTTATTTAAGTCCACATGAAAATGCTTCACAATTTTGCCTTGTAGGTCATACTTTTGATCCCTTTGTTTATATGTCATGAGGCTCCATCTTAATGAGGGAAGTGGGGTTGAATGGGGAGAAAGGGGCTGGGGTTGGAGATCTGGTCAGCAGGCTCCCAGATGTGCTCACACTAGGCTCAGCTACAAGCAGGGACCCCGAGCCTGATGAGAGCTCCAGTTCAGCCACGGGGGTTAGCCCAACAGTGGGGCGGCTGGGGGGAGAGAACGTCTGGTTCCCCACAAGGCTCAGGTTGTGGGAAGCCCTTGAAAGCACCTGACCCTGAAGTGGCTGAAGATGGGCCTGATCTCTCAGGAGCTCTCTCAGGGTCTCCTCAGGAACCAACAGCCCCTCCACAGGGGGCCCAGTCACCACACCCTGCACATATGAGGGGGACCTCAAGGGCCCCTCCTTTACCCCAGGCACTGATGTGCCACCAGAAGTCCTAATAAAGGCAGCAATGACAGTCCCAGGGGGCTGAGAGCTAGGCCCTGCTGACCCAGCACCTATGACCTGGGAGGGTACTGGGTTGCTCGGATGGTTAGCCCCAGCCAAAAGTTGAGGGAGGCCACTGAGGATCAATGGGGCCCCTTGGGTTGCCACCTGGTTCTCCTGGAAACTGGTGTTCAGGGGGAAGGAGGCCTGCAAAGTGAAGGTGTCCTTGAACGTTGACACCTGTGGAACACTCTGGAGAACCAGTTGAGTAGGAGCAGTAGTACTGGCGGGAGGCCCATTGGTCAGCACCGTAGTCAGCGGGATGGTCTGCAGGGTGACGGTGGAGCCCGGTCCCACAGGGGCCACTCCCAGGTGGATGTTACTGGGCACTGAAGAAGTACTGAGAAGAAACAGAAAACAGAGCTGGGTAAGGCCGGAAGCACCCTAACTGGCTAGGAATGAGGGCACCGGAGGAATGGAGCTATGCATATGCTGTGCCTTTATTACCCTAGCTAATATTTATTAATGTGTATAGGTCAGAGATTGTTCTAGAAGACTGACACTGTTTAAACTTCAAAACCACCCATGAACTGAATAAGCATCACCTAACTGTACAGTCTGAGGAAACGGAGGTACACAGTTCACAGCCCAGAGCTAGTAAAGACTGGAGCAAGGACTTGGCAAGCAAGCCTTGTGAAACCTAGAGCTCACGTTCCTCCACATACTACTCGACTGCTTCCCCTCCTCTAAAGACTGTCCCCATGACCCAAACCAATGTAGCAGGAGGTGCAGACACGGCCCCAAATCCAATCTCTCCAGAGAGAACTGTAGGTCCCTTAGCATCAAAGAGAGTGAGTGCTTGCCAAGAGGCATGGAAGGCAGTGTTACGTCTGCAACACACGTAATCATTTGTGAAGTGTGAGACTTAGTGGCATGGGTCCAGATGGAGAAGCCCTAGATGGCTTCTGAGGACACACTCCAGTGTCACAAGAACAGCCATATATATCTTCCCCAAGTGAAGTGCTGACGTTGGATTACCCTGGCATGAGATCTCAGGCAAGTCAGGTTTCTCTCTCTTGCTCGCTAAAGATTTATTTTTTAATTGCATTTTTATGGTTAAAAAATTGCCGGGCGGTGGTGGCGCACGCCTTTAATCCCAGCACTCGGGGGGCAGAGCCAGGCAGATCTCTATGAGTTCGAGGCCAGCCTGGACTACAGAGCAAGATCCAGGAAAGGCGCAAAGCTACACAGAGAAACCTTGTCTCGAAAAACAAAAACAAAACAAAACAAAAAAAATTACTTCGTTAATTTTTACTTTCATTTTTTTATTTTTTATTTTATTTTATTTATTTTGTGTGTGTGTGTGTGTGTGTGTGTGTGTGTGTGTGTGTGTGTGTGTGTGTGTGTGTGTGTATGCCATGCCCAGTGAGACCAAAAGAGGGTGCCAGGTCGTCTGGAGCTGGAGTTACAGGTGGTTGTGAGCTACCCAATCTACATGCTGGGAACCAAACCTGGGCCCTCTGCAAGAGCAGTTCGAACTCTTAACCACTGAGTCATCTCTCCAGCCCCATCACTCCTCTCTTGAACAGGACGTGCTCTGCTTGCTTCTCAGTGGGTTCTGTTAAGATCTCACAAAACTGGAAACACAGCCGAGCTTCACAGGAAGGTGACAACTGGCCCCCTCCACACAGCATGAGGTACTAAAGAAGACTCCGATTACTTTGGTGCCCTTACCTCACAGTTTTGGTGAGCTTGGCCTGGCTCTGTAGTGGAGAGATAAGCATGGTGGAGGTCGTGGGAACCTCCTCGTCCACAGACAGCCCTAACTCCAGGTTTGCGGACGGCTGGAGACCAGTGTGGTGAACCTTTGGCTTCTCCCAGGAAGGGCTATCCTTGTCCTGGGAGGAGGTTCTGGTTCCAACCCTGGAGCTGGCTCTCCGGATGGTGCTGGTGGAGGGTGTGGACGAAGTGGACGAAGTAGAGGCCTGGGGAGGGGCTTCCGGTGTTTCAGCGCTCTCCTCCTCATCCTCGATCACCACCAAGTCCTTAGGCATCTCCTTAAACTGGTAGACCAGCCTCTGCCCTTCCACTTTGGCCAGGATTCCTCTTTGGTAGTAATATCTGGAAGGACAGAAAGGGGATTGCTGGCTTCAGCAGAGTTGAAGAAGGAGGCCCTGTCTCTCCATCTGCCCCACACGCTAGTCTCTATGGCAGGGCAAGCATGGGACTGAGGCAGGCTGGGGAGCAGCAGTCCAGGGGTGGGGTGGGAGGAATGGCCAACTCTTAGACACAAAGAGCTTTGTAGGACACTTGAAGTTTTTACAGTCTAGCAGATGTACAAAAAGGGATCTTCAGTGCCAACCCCCACACTGCTTTGCGGCTGAGGACAGTGGCTGAGTGAATGGAAATGAGCAAAGGATGGACCGTGGAGATTCAACAATTCAACAATGGCCTGAGAACCCATCTGGGACAACTCAAGGCCATCTCTGGCTTCCGCAATGTGAGGGGATTGGGTGTGTGTGGAGCTAAAGCACCCTTTCAACACAGACATGCAAGAGGAGTCTTGAAGAAGAAAAAGGGAGTGTTGATCCACATCCTAGAGGGGACTGGTCAGGCCTTCCTTCAAGTGGGAGAGCCTCCTTGGGCACAGGAAATCTTAGTAATCCCTCGGGGCAGGAATCTTATGTCTCCACAACTCCTACCTTAGAGCCCGGCCCATGGTCTCATAGTTCATGTCAGGCTTGTTTTTCTGCTTGCCCCACAGCTTGGACACAGCCTTGGAATCCACCAACTTGAAGATGCCTTTCTCTCGCTGGGTCCACTTGATGTACTTGGGGCAGGTGTTTCTGTCTTGCAGAAGAGCCAGGAGGAACTCCCACAGGTAAATGGTGCTGCCTGCAGAGGGGTAGACAGTGAGGGGCAGCTCAGGTCTGAAATTAAGGGGCACCCTGCCCATCTCATCTGAGCTCCAGCTCTACCTTTGCCATCCTTGGATTTCTTCCGTATGGGCATGCTGGGATCAGTGACAGGTGAGGTACTTCGGCTGTTCTTTGTCTTCCGGCCTGTGAGGAGAAAGTGGGTAAGCAGAAAGCTGAGGTCCAAGTTAGCTGGGCAAGCTGCATATGACAGGACCAACCACCATGGGCGAGCTAGGTCACTAAGGCAGGAGGTCCATCCAATCCTCCAGATCCACAGCCACCAGGTATCTGCCCCATCCATTTCAGTCCCTAAAGTTAACTCCACATCAAGGCTACCACAAGGGAGATGCAAGGTCTGCACAATGGGTGCCTTTAGAAGAACAGCTAGGCCAGAAATTCCTGACCTAACTTTTGGGATGGGAGACAGCCTTAAGGTGTCTGTGTGGTGCAGGTCAGTGTAGTACAGAGACAGGAGTAGGCATTCTGATGCAGTATCAAGCAGCCCTCCCCTAAGTAAATCAATAACACAGGAGCTTGGGAAAGCCCAAAGTCCTTGCATAGATGGCCTGTTTCATAAGTGCAATAGAATCTAGATAAGCATACAGCATGACTCATTTTTATGTGAAGGCCCCCAAAGTCCAGGAACTAGCCAGGAGTCTAGGCCTGGTGTCCCAACACCCAACCTAGGAGCCAACCAACCAAGACTATTGGCATTGCTAGAGGAGTTTATGAATGTGCTGAACAGACAGGAGAAGCATGAGAAAGGCCAGGCTTTGGGATGGACCCCTAACGAAGCCAAGACTTACAGAACAGTGACCTTTAGATCATCCTTGCTGGACCAAAGAGATATATCATCCACTTAATGCCCCTGTGAGCCTCAAGCCACTCAGTCCTTGGGCCTCCAAGTCCTCCAAGGCTTTCCCTACCAAAGACGAGTATAGACTCTCCCACGGCCTTACTTCTCTTCCTTGACTTCCCCGTCTTCTTAGGACTTTCCTCTCTGGAGACCCTCTCCTCCCGAGACTGTTCCTTCTGGTCCCCAGCATCGCTTGTCTTCTTCGGCTCTTCAGGTTCCGAGGCAGAAAACAGGAGGTTGGGCAGACTGATGGCCTGTGCAGAGTCTGAGTCTTGAAGTATTTCAGGTGTGCTGACTGCAAGAAGAAAGGGCCGTGGTGGGCAGAGCCAAGGGCAAAGAGGGCCTTCATCTTTCTTCTCTAGTGCTGTGGCTCCAGAGGAATATGCTCGGCATGGGGGATGATGGGGGTGCCATTCTCCACAGCCCCAGCCATAGGACGCACCTAAAGCTGCCTCGGGGGGTCTCACCCCAAGAAGGGAGGGAACATCTGCGGAGCTGTACACATCGATCTGCCCCAATCACCACGGCTATATTTATCGCTCACTACCAGTAGTGGGGAAGGGAAGGTCCAGGCTGCATTCGGAGAAAGGACTTGAAGGATTTAGTCATCCACTCATCTGACAACCCAAAAGAACTTCAGAAAGCATTAAGCCCAATTCCTCTGCTTTCCTGATTAGGAAACTGAGAAACGGCAAGTCATGTGCCATGGTCACACAGCACCAGGGGTACATGTTGGCACTCAGTCAGTATCTGTTGAGTCCTGGCTGAATATTAGTGAGAGGCAAGGGGAGAAATTTTCTTTAGCCTCAGAGATTATTTTTGTCCTCAATTATGTCATAGTACCCCCTTGGGCAAGGGCAATTGAGTGGGGGGACTCTTTGGAAGCATCTGAGTACCTTTTAGACAAGGAATTAAGAGGCGCGCTGCCTGGGGGGGGGGGGGGGCGGTCTTCTAAGGAGCTAGAGGCCATAGAGGATCAACAGGCATCTGCACCCTCTTAGAATCTGGCCTTCAAGAACAGGCAGCAGGGGCTGAGAGGCAGTTCTATGGGTAAGGCACTTGCTGCCAAGTCTTATGATCTGAATTTGATCCCCAGGACCCGCACGATGGGAGGAGAGAATTTGTCCTCTGACCTCCACACTCACGTCATGGCATATGCATACGCCCCTACACAAAATATAATTTAAAATTTAATAAATGAGGTTGGGGATTTAGCTCAGTGGGAGAGTGCTTGCCTAGCAAGCGCCAGGCCCTGGGTTCGGTCCTCAGCTCCAAAAAAAAAAAGAAAAAAGAAAAAAAATAATAAAAATATTTCAAAGGATTATTCATTCTGTTTTCTCAGATGTAGAGGACTTTAGAGATGGCAAAGACAGCTGCTCAACAATGTGAAACCACTTACCATTGCTGAGGTGGACCCTTCAAAATGACTAAGGTGATAACATTTTGTTGTATGTATATTTGTCAAAAAACTGGTGAAATAACACCAACATTTTCCTGGCCATCTTGCCCTTGTCTCCGGTGCCTTCCTGACCCTCTCCTGTCAGCCCGGGCCTGAGTTTCTTCCCATGCATACTGATGGATGGGAATCCCTAGACCTGATGCGCATGTGCCTGAAAATCGACTGTGAAGATGCAAAGAGGACTGTTGGTCACCTTGAAGTCAGGTACTTTGACTTCACACTTACAGATCTGCTTCTCATCCAGGACGTCGTTGGGAGATTCCACATTGAACAGGACTTCAGTAGATGACACATTTTGTGAGGTGGACACATTGTCATCTGGTTCCGGGTTCCAAGGGGTGAGGGTAGAAAGGAGAGTTCTGTTAGGCTTCAGAACAGTTATAATGAGGGCCAAACCGAGGGGGGACTCTATGGAACAGCTGGACAGACACCAGATTCCCTCCCACCCAATTCCCCTCCCCAACCTGGGTTCCATTCTTTGTGCCACCACACCTGATGAATTTATGGATGGATTGAGATGGTTCCCCCCTCTTTTGTGGGAAGTCTTGCCCGTTATGTGGGGTTACTAGCAGCCACAGTGGGCTGCTATTCCCTGAAGGCAGAATTCCTTTATCCACCATACACCTTCCCCGACCAGAAAGGAACAGACCTGCCAGCAAAATACCGCCTTCTAGGATCTGATCTTGTGTCATGCACAAGGTCCTGTCCCTTATGATGCCATTGTGGACGTCATCCAGATCCAGTCCCGAGTACAGATGCAGTAATTCAGGATAGGGGACCTGCTCCACGATCACAGCTGGGAACACTGAAGGGTCTTCCAGCTATGGAGAAGAAAGAGATCCAGGTCAAGGCTCACCCACTTCTTCCAAGAAGCCTACCCTATCAGATGCCAAGGCCAACCTCATTAGGTGTTTTTTTAAATTACATCTTTATTTTATTCTTTTTAGAGGTGGGGCATACCACAGCATGTGTGTGGTGGTGGTCAGAGGACAACATGCTGGAGTTGGTTCTCTTCTTCCATCATATGGGTCATTAGGCTTTGCTGCAGGCACCTTTAATTTCTAAGCCATATTGCCAGCCCCCTAGGTGATGCTCTAAGTGGGATCTTGATGAATAGAGATGGCTTAACTCTGCGGGACATGCACTCAGCCAAGTATTTTGTGTATGTGCAGTACTGGGGATGGAACTCAAGGCCTTGTACATGCTAAAGATGTACTTTACCAGTGATCCCGGGCAAACATTTTTTGATTTGTTGGGTTAGACCATGGTCTGAGGTTAGAGCTGAGTCTATGAGAAGAGTCACTAGTGGTGAGGGATTGATTGATGGCAAGTACTCTGAAGCTGCATGTGACTAGTGGTTCTATATTGCACTACACAAATATAGAACATTTCTAGCATCCCATAAAATTGGATTGGATTGCACTGATCTTGAGCCAGATTGCCTGGATTTTAAACTGTCTGTTATTTCCTAGTACTATGACCCTAGGAAAGTTCCCCAACCTTTCTGTGTGTCAGTTGCCTTATTCATAAAACTGGGTTACCTGTATTATTGATCCCATAGATTGTTTAGCCAGATCAGTAAACATAATGCATTCACAACAGGTCCTGGCATAGAATAAGTTATCATTAGGTAGCTGGAGCCTCTAGGAAACAAATGTTTTGGTTCTTTGAAAAATGTCAGTGTTTTACCTACATGTATCTATGTGCACCATGTGAGTGTCTGGTACTCACAAGAGTCAGAAGAGGGCTGCTTGGAACTGGGGTTACAGCAGTTGTGACCTGACAGATGTGGGTGCTGGGAACCTCACCTGGGTCTTCTGCAAGAGCAACAAGTGCTCTTAACTGCTGAACCACCTCTCCAGCCCCATGTTTTGTTTCTTTTTTTTTTTTTTTTTTTTTTTTTTGGTTTTTTTTCGAGACAGGGTTTCCCTGTGTAGCTTTGTGCCTTTCCTGGAACTCGCTTGGTAGCCCAGGCTGGCCTCGAACTCACAGAGATCCGCCTGGCTCTGCCTCCCGAGTGCTGGGATTAAAGGCGTGCGCCACCACCGCCCGGCATGTTTTGTTTCTTAACCTAAGTACATTCATGTTCCTTTCTAGTCTGTCAGTCAGTCTGTCTGTCCATCTATCTATCGTCTATCTATCTATGACTTATGAGTTCTCTTATATTTCTGACATTTAACAGCAAAGATCTTTTTCTGTGGAGTGAAAGGCAGATGAAAATGGAAAGGTATGGGGTGGAGACTGTTCCGTGGGGAAGCTAAGAAGCTGACATTCTAAAGGGAAGATTTGCTTAGGGGTTATATCGAAGAGGTGTGAAAAATGAAGGACAGGGGAAAGATGATAGAGGGAAAGAAGGAGGCAGGAGGAATAGAAGGAAGCAGAAAGCGAGGAAGAAAGAGAGAGAGGTGATTAATTCTTTTGAGGTAGGTGAGAACAGATAATATGAAAGGGTAGGAGTTACCCAGGCAAGGAAGAGGGATGCTTCTTTTTCCTAGGCCAATGGGACAGAAAGAGTAACAGAGGATGTTAGAGACAAATGGGAGAAGTTAGGGCAATTGAGGGCAGCCTCGGCTTGGAGTGTGTCTTGACTGGACCAGAGGCTATCCAATGCTGAGGGTAGGCTGTCCATCGCTGAGGGTAGAGGGATGCTTGGAGTATAAAGAACAAGAATAGCTTTTGAGAGGATTGGAAACAAGTGACGATTATAAATAGCACTGGGAATCCAGGTAAGGTTAAACTTTTCTCCCCTTCTTATCTGATGCCTTCCACGAGAAGGCATACCCCAGAACAGACAGACAACCAAGCTGAGTTATTTTGTTCAAGAACCAACAGGCCAGAAAGTGCAATGTGCTCAAGGCCCACTAGAGGGCAGCCTTTCGTAAAACCAGTAAGAGCGTTTTCTACCCGCCCATAGATAGAGCATCCGACGCCCTCAGAGCTCTGGAAATATTCAGCTGGATCTTCTCTTGGACAAGATTTAGGATGTAGCAGCCAAATAGGGCAGGGGAAAGACTTGGGTAGGTGACACTGTGTCCCAACTGAGATTAAAACCCAGCATTGTTGATTTCGACTCTCCCTATCCTTGTTCCACGCCTGGCTGCCTCATCTTTCTCCTTGTGAAAGAGCTGAGTGGAAGGCTGCAGACCATCTAGCAGCACAGAAAATGCACCCTCCTAGCTTCAGGGCAACACAAGGGGTAGAGCAGTGGGCACTAGAGTACCTGGATCCTATTCCCACTTCTGCCGTAGCCTGAATCCTCAGGCTGAGAAGACATTTATGGGTGAGCCTACCAACTCTCTAGAGCCATGAATCTGAAGATGCTAAGACTCTGATTCCACGTTGTAAGTCCAGCTGGCAGTGCCCTGTTTGCTATGAAGTTGTCCCAGCAGTTTTCTCCCTGTGACCCTGGGGCTGAAGGGAAGTAGCAGACACCCTACATGATGTTCAGTAGGATGTAAGTGTCTGCTTAGTCCCATTTGCCAATGGACTCACAGCTCAGCCGGTTGGCCTAATAATTACTTGGCCAGCAGGGTGACTGCATGTGCTGTAATGGTACGGAGCCAACCAGCTCCCTGAGTGACCATCCAAAGACACCTAGGAGTAGCTGGTGCACAAGCTGGCTGGCAAGCAGGTCCAGTGCTCTTAACATAGCAGGTGCCCGATTGGTATTTGCTGACTAGTTCACTGTCAGTCCCCCTGGACACACAGGCTGGCTGTTTGTGTGTCTATGTCCCCCTGGCTGCTCATATTGGCTGACTGTGTTTTATTCCCAGAGGCCATACCTGGTGGATGTCATCCATGCCGTTGCTTGCGAACTCAAACACCAAATCACTGGGCTGCAGGGCAATAGCCATACTGGCTTGTGCCAGAGCTGACAGTGACTGTCCCCCGGCTCCCTGGAGCTGCGGTGCTTTCTCGACGAAGAGATGTTATTCAGGTACCTTCGGATCAATCTAGTGCCTTCTTTGAGCCTCCGTGGAGGATATTCAGAGTTGGAGTGGGTGTGGCCTAGGCCAGGTTCAAGACTGCATGCTGGGCCAAGCCAACCACGAGAACAGCCTAAGGAGAAGGGAGACATGGAGGCAGTGAGTAAGTCAACTTGCCTGAGCTCTGTGGCCGGATCAGCTGGTGAACTGGAGAGGATCTGCTGTGCCTAGACAGACTTCCAGCAGAGCGACAGCCGAAAGGGACCTGGCCTGGCACAAGGCAGTAGCAGGAAAAACCTCCCTAACTACCCTGGCTTGAGAAAGACTCGTGTAGGTGTGGGTGTGAGGAGAGCCAGAGTGCTCATGGGCTCAGTTTACCTTAGAAGTGAGGCCCAGCTGGCTCAGAGGAGCAGTCTGTAGAGGAAGCAATGTCTCCCTTGGGGGGGAGGGGAGGGGTGTCATGGCGGGTCATATGCCTTGCATGCTTATTAGCAACCCCACCCCCACTGTCCACCACAGGGTGGCCTCCCTCCGGTGCTGCATGTGGCTTTGTGCTCGTGGCTTAGCTTTGCTTTCAGTTTCAAGACTGAACTGTCACCCTGCCTGGGAACTTGTGAGGAGAACCCCGGCTGGGGGGAGGGGCCAGCAGAACCTTCCTCATCCTCTAGGGCTGGCCCAGCCCCCATATTCCAGGAACCCTCTCAGTCTGCTGAAGTCTCTCCCCAGTGCCTCGTAAGCTAGCAAGGCCTCGCAGCTGTCTGTTGCTTCCACTGCCTCTACTCCTTCACTGCCAGAGCCCCAGGGTGCTTCTTGCATGGTCACACCCATGGCCAACTCCCAGAGACCTGACCTCCACAGACTCTCCGTCCGTCGGCCCGACAGCCTGCTCTGCTCTGCTCTCCTGCCGGGAACACACTGGCTTTGCACTTATCCAGGTACCAGGTCTTTCGCCCTTTGGGTTCCTTTCAGTGTGTGATGTGTTTGCAATGTGTGGATAACTCCAAGCAGGCCGATTCAACCACCACCGGAGCCAGGAGAACACAGGCTACCCACAAGAGCACCATCCCAACTCCTTGCCACTCTGTTAGTAGAGTCAGGGTGGCAAATCCTTATCCTGGCTGGGAAATAAATGAGGAACAGATGGGGGGGCAACGAGGGGTGGCACAAGTGACCTCTGTGATGACCACTCTCCTCCACAGGAGACACCCAAGCCTCTCCCACTTCCTTTCCGTTAGCCCACAGGGCTAGCCCCGCCCAGTCTCCGCCCCCACACCTTTCCACCCACTCCATCAAACAGCCTAGAGAAGTTGCTCAGCTCAGCTTTACCCATCAGAGTTGAATTTCCCTTTGGATGGAAGAAAGAAATCTGCTAGGTCCATCCTCAGTTGGACCCTAAGGGTGGGAGGGTGGTGGTGGTGGGAATAGCCTTGTTCTGGTTCCATGATTCCACCTTGCCCCACCCAAACCTGCGTGGGACCCTATCCCTCAGTGGCCCGCAAGACCTAGCAGTACCATTTGTGCCTGGCTCCCCTAGCCTGAGTGCCCTCAAGGCCAGCATTCCGATGCTCCTGCCCTCCCACAGGCCAGTCTGTCTGCCCTTAGGAAACATTCTCATAGTAATCCAATGAAAGGCGATCACTTTCATCTAAACCCACTTTGTCTCAGCATGAAACTTCTGCCTCTGCTCCTGCCCCAGGTCATTCACTGGGGCCCTTCTTTTCGGGTTTGTTTGTCTTCTTGTTTTCTCTTCAGACACCAGCGTTTCATTTTCAAAAGTTCTGCTGGCGCTATTTGCTTAGGAAACCTCGATGCATTTTCCTTACCTCCCCTATTAGACACTGGCTTGTGCTTGGTTTATGGAATGAACACAAGAAAAAAGGAGTAGTAGTGGGCGTGGTACCCCATGCCCGTAATCCCAATATCTGAGAGGCTGGGGTGGCTAGATCACGGTGGTTCGAGGCTAGCTTGAACTATAAAAACCGGGTTTGGGGAGATAGCCCAATCTTTAAAGTACTTTCCATGAAAGCATGAGCACCCGAGTTCAATGAAAAAAAGCCAGGTCCAATGGAGCATGCTTATAATCCCAGGACTTGGGTAGTGTGACAGGTGGATTTCTGGGACCTGCTAGCAAGCTAGCCTATTCTGTGAGCCCTAGGGTAATGAGAGACCCCCCTCATTACCAGCACCAAGGAGGACAATTCCTGAGAGGTTGACCTCTGGGCTTCCACAGGCATGATATACACACATGTGGGTTTGCATCAGTACATGTGTGCACCCACATGAACACACTGCCCCCCCCACATACACATGAAACCAAGCCAAGCAAAATAAATAAATAAAAAGAAGGAACAAAAGAAAAAATAAATGAGTGAATGAATGGTACTGGCCTAGGAACATCTACTGTATATTATTGGAGCTGTATATAGCTAAATGTACACTAACTGCAGTTGAGAAATGTGCAAGCTCAGAGGTTACATTGATATTATTTTTGCATTTCTAATTACGGAGGTGCACTATTTGTCTGCTGTGAGCGTACAAGCAGACCACAGGTATATGCGCATTCAGGGTGTGTGCATGTGTGCCAAGTGTGGGGACATGTGTGTCAAAGGGCTGCTCTGGTCCGGCCGGCTTGCAAAGCCACAAGCTCAATCATAGGTTCCTCCTCCTGCTCCTTCAGGGCAGGTAGCCTGAGCTGCCCGGGTGAGAATGACGAGCTCAAGCAAATGCTGTGGAGAGGATGGGGGGGGTCACTGGGCAGGCCAGGCTTCTGCTGGTCAACAAGGAGGTTTGACTGTGTGCTTCCCAGAGAAGAAAAAGCCAACCCCAGCATAGGTGTGGGGCCTACGGGCCCTCAGGTGAGTGACCCTCAACCCTAGGTCCACTCTGCTAAGGAAGGAGAGGGAAGAAAGGTCCCCAGAGCACTGTGTTGGCTTATAAGGCTTTAACCATCACCGGAGAAAGTGGAAACGAGTTTGAAATGAGTGGCAATTCCAGTAGCATTCTGCTGCGGACCCGCATGCATGCTCAAGTATCTAAACGCCTATCTAGGGCTGGAAGATCTTAGAAAACCATCTCCGGTGATCTGGTTCTTCCTGAAGCTAAGGCAGACGAGTGGCAGGTCAGGGGAGCAAGGCTAAGAAACCTACCATGGAACTTTTTAGTCCAGAAATTTCCCCCTCCCCCTTCAAAAGTTTGAGGATTTGAAAGTGAGAGGTGGAGAAAGCTCATTTGCATGTTCACTCACTCTCCCCCAGTCCCTCAAAATAACCTCCCTCTCCCAGGAACTTGAAACCAAAGATGCCACCACCACAGAAGGCACACCCTATTGGAGAAACACACGAAGGTTCTTCTGTCCAGGGTCCTCTCAAAGCCCTTTGGCTGGCCACAGCTTCAGTGGCCTATAATCCCCCTGGACACTGCCTCACTGGTGAGTGGAGATCGGAAGACACGGATGGCTCCAGGCAGAGTCCATTTTCAAATCTGTCTTCCTGGAGTGGGAAATGATGCCTGGGTGCTGCACTGAAAGCTGATGTGCATTGCTTTGTGCGCGTACCAGAAGAGGGAGCACAAAGGCCCGGGCGCCTGTAAACACACACCTCTGGCTCCCAGGTTCCGGCTGCACTTCAAACCCAAAGGGGCACAGAAGTGGTTTAGGCTGATTCTGCATCACCACAACATGCAGACCCTTCCTTCCTGGGACTGTCACTGGAACACATCAAGCGGCTCCCAGCGCCCCTCCATCTAGGCCTCCCCTACAGGAGGCAGCTCTGATGTGAAAGCCATGTCCACAATCTCTACCAAGTGAGTTTAAAATCTAGGCTTGATCAGCTGAGTCAATGGCTCTCAGAATTGCTGGTAACACCCATGGCATTTTCACACATGCCAAGAAACATGGGGGCCAGATGGTCAGCTGGGCCACGCAGCATAATTCTCCTCCAGTTCCTCATCCTCTCAGAGCCAACTGTCACCCCTGAAATACCTCATTCTCCATGAAACCTTTCTGGAATTCTTTGGAAAGGAAATGACAATTTCCTTCACCGTCCCTCCCCCAACAGCCACAAACAAAATGGAAGCTGCCTCAGGAACAGAACAGCTGTCCCCTCTACGTAAAGGCAGCCTTTCCTCCGGCTAAGCTCGGAGGAGATGGCGCCTGCTGCACTATGTGACCAGTGGCCTGTATTTAAGAGCCAGAGGGCCAGAGTCCTGAATCAAGTGTGCAGTCCCGGACAGAGCAGAGCTAAGCCATCTGCAGAACTCAAACCCGCCACCTTGTCCCAGTGAGGGCTGCACTCCCTCCAGTCAGCCAACTGAATCTGCTTTCTTGAGCAAGTGCCCAGTAAAGTGGCTCCAGCCACAGCTCTGTTGTCAGCTCCTTCTCCTTTGTCCCGTCCTGTCCACTGCCTCCTCCACTGGAGATGAAATCAGGAAGGGGGAGGGGGGGGAAGAAAGGTTTTGCAAGGTTGGGGTTTCTCTACGCTTATTTGCAAAAAAATCCAGGTTCCTAAACTGGGTGTGGTGGGGGCAGGCCTTTAATCCCCATACTTAGGAGGTGGAGACTTGAGGACCCTGAGTACTAAGCCAGCCTGGGCTACACAGCGAGACCTTTGCCTTAAAAAAAAAAATCAAGGACTGGAGATGTAGCTCAGTTGGTAGAGTGTTTGCCTAGCGTGCAAGCTGGGTAAAACTGGGCATGGTGAGACACACCTTTAATCTCAGCACTTGGGAGGCAGAGGTAGGTGGATCTCCAGACCAGCCAAGTCTACACAGTGATTTCCAGGCCAGGGTAAAAAAAGAAAAGCTGGGGTTATAATTCCCAGCACTGCATAAAAAACAGACATGTTGGCACTTGCTATCCCTGCCCAGGGGAGGTTGAGATAGGAACATCAGAAGTTCAAGGCCTAGGTTACATAGCATATTGATGCCACCCTGTGTTAGACCCTGTCTCAATAAACAAAACAAAAACCTTCCCCAAACAAAACAACAAATCAGTAAAAAAAATAAATAAATAAAGGAGAGACATATTAAAAACAAAGCAAGAAAACCCAAGGAGGAAATAAGTATGAAAACCAGAAAGCAGTCACACACAAAGCATAAGCTTCAGGTGACCTCCAGAGGACAAGGGTGTCGCCCCCA